TAACAATCTATTAGGATTCACATGCTTTTTTCTACATGTTTTCTGATTAATGCATTCATAAAATCTGAAGCACTCCTCAGTTTACTAGTGTAATCCTAAAAGGTGATAGGTAATCTGTTTATAAGCCAAAAAAGAAACTCAGTATAACATTAAAAAAAAGAATGCCACACAGTGCTACTAAACAGGCATAATTGAATGGCACCATGGAATGAATCTGCAATTCAGGTACATATTACTCCTAATTTCTGCTATGACATGGTCTCTTAACTTCTACTCAAACTGAAAATTTCAGATAATTTGCTCTTGGTGAATATTAGGAACCAAATAAATGATACTGTTAAGGAAGAAACATGTCACCTCTGTAATGAATGATGAATGTGAAACCGTTTCCAAATTTTGAAAAGCAAATTTACAATACAAAATTTAAAAGTTGAAAAACTGTGAGCCAAGGCATGTCTCAAAATCCAGAGAGAGAATATAAATATAGGAATCTTGATCTTTCAAAATTCTAAACACTGCAAACAGGTACACATTATGTTTGACAGGCCTACATACCCCACCAAGAGCGCTACATGCAAGGGCAAAGAACTTCATCCATTCCACTCCTTCTGCAAAATTGCCCAGTCGAAGAAGGTTGCGGAGCTGTTCCATTGGCAAGCACAAGTTTTTCCACTTTCTCTGAAGGTCCGATATTTCCACAGTTTCCTTTTCAGAGAGCTTTAAAAACACATGTACATCATAAATAAACCATAAGAAAACAGCATGAAAAGTTAAGTTACTTCTAAAAGAACATTCTGCAAAGATTTTTACCTGTTTATGCAAAATTTTAAGGAGTCCTGGAGTCAGACCAGTGTCATTTTTCTGTGTGGCTACTGGCCTTTCAAGACGGTCCTTCACAGGAAGAGGTTCTCCATTTGACAAAGCATAGAAATACCTATGATAGCACAAATGCAAAAATATGGTTCATGTCAAATAAATAAATATTCAAAATCAGTACATGAATTTAAAGATCAAATGTGTATAATGGTGGCCCAATAGGCCCTTTCAGGGAGAAAAAGCCATTTCCTGTTAGGGTGGAAGGGAGTAGGGAGACTTTTCCTCCCATAACGCAGGGAAACATGGATTTAAAATCCCATGGGATGAGGCCCTGCAGGTGGAAAACTACTAACCCCTTGCCCAGATTGTCCGGAGCTTTGGGCTGGGCTGTCACCAATATGCTGATGACACTCAGCTCTATCTGCTGATGGATGGCCATACCAACTTGGCCCCGGACACACTGACCAGATGTCTGGAAACTGTGGCTGGATGGTTTCGTTGGAGCCGATTGAAACTAAATCCTTCGAAGACAAAGGTCCTCTGGCTTGGTCGGGATGGTATGGGGATGAGAGACCAACTCCCTTTTCTTGCGGGGGCCCAATTAGTGCCATTGCCTTCCGTTAAGAGTTTGGGTGTAATCCTCGACGCCTCCCTTTCCACGGAGGCACAAGTTACAGCAACAGCCAAGGCGACATTTTTCCACCTTCGCCGCATCGAGCAGTTGGCCCCTTACCTTTCCCGCCCTGACCTGGCCACAGTGATCTATGTGACGGTCACCTCCAGGCTTGACTACTGTAATTCGCTCTACGCGGGGCTGCCCTTGAAGCTGTCCCAGAAATGCCAGCGGGTGCAGAATGCTGCAGCGAGGCTCCTCACGGAGTCTCTGCCATGGGAGCATATTGACCCAGTGCTTTTCCAGCTGCACTGGCTCCCGGTGGAGTACAGGGTCAGATTTAAGGTGCTGGTTTTGACCTTTAAAGCCCTTCACGGCCTAGGACCCTCGTACCTACGGGACCGCCTCTCCTGGTATGCCCCACGGAGGACCTTAAGGTCCATAAATAGCAACACCCTAGAGGTCCCGGGCCCTAAGGAAGTTAGATTAGCCTCAACCAGAGCCCACGGCCTTTCAAACACTGGCTCCAGCCTTGTGGAACGCTCTGTCTCATGAGACCAGGGGCCCTGCGGGATCTGATTTCTTTCTGCAGGGCCTGTAAGACAGAGTTGTTCCGCTTGGCCTTTGGCTTAGAATCAGTTTGATCCCTTTCCCCTCTTTCTTTTTCCTTTCTCCTCCTGTGAAGAGGCTGCATCTTAATGTTTTAATGTTGTATTTTAATCTTGTTTTTTAAATTGTAATCAACTTGTTTTTATTATTGGTTGTTAGCCACCCTGAGCCCGGTCTTGGCTGGGGAGGGTGGGGTATAAATAAAATTTAGTAGTAGTAGTAGTAGTAGTAGTAGTAGTAGTAGTAAAATAACTAAGTATCTCTCTCTGCCACAATTCTGCTACCCATTGGGAAACATTTATTTTCTCATTCTTAGAGGCTGTTCAGCTGCCATTGCACACCAATGCATTAATGTTGTTTAGGCCAAAATGCTCAAGACTGCCAATTTGGTTAGGACTTTGAGTGGACTGCCATTTCTCCATCCTCAGGAACCGTCTTTTTTCAACTCACTGTTTTTATTCTCATTTTGTCTAAGCGAGACAGTAACATTCATGAGCCAAACCTGCCAAATTGGCTCATAACCTGCTAAACTGAGCAGGTTTCTGTACACACAAGAGTTCTCTAGCACACCTGCATCTAGCTGGATTGACCTCCCCTTGCATCAGGCAATGCATGGGGAGGTCAGTCCTGATTAGCGCTGGGTTCAGGTGAGTGAGAGTTATTTGCAGGAAGCATTCTTATGCACCTGGACCAAGCAAGACTGACTTTCCCACTAAGTATAATCCTGCTTTGCAAAAAAGCTTCAGAAGCTCCTGACAACCAGTTGGCTGTTGGGCACTTTGGAAGTTGTGCAAGGGGGCTTTGCCTGTGCTGCCAGTTCGCCACTCCCACAGAGATGCTATCCAATAGTGATTGTTATGTGAAGACTTCTGGATCAGGGCCATTAGTTTCAGTTTTCTACTCACGCATAAGACCACTGAAGTACATCACGCGGTTGGGTCCTGATAGCAGCCTTGGTAAATTGTTTCATAATATCTGGCAGTTCAGGAGGAACATGGATCTGCTGCGCACAGAACATAACATCTGGAACAGGCATGGTTGTACTAGGTCCAAAACCAGAAAGCTAAGAGAACTAAAAAGAACATTATTCCTAAACAGATGACCCTCAAGACCACTTCCAACTCTACAATTCTATGAAGCTATTTCAAGCTGTCTTACTTTGGATAACGAAGATTTACCTGGATAACTCAAAAGACATGTACTGGCCTTGCCACACCGCTGATCTTCTTGAACATGGTAGCATCATCATCACTGTTTGTCGATCCTCCCTCCCTGGTCTAAATTCCCCACACATATGTAACAATTTCCCTTTCTAGAACATTTCCTTCAGATTTGTTCTCAGCGCAAAATTTGTATACTAAACTAAAGCATCAATACTAAGACAAAAAGAGACCAAAAGTCACCAAAGGTCAAGAAGCATAGCTAATCAAGTAGATGCTTGTCTTAGGCTGCAATCCTACATATAAAACTCAATCACATGCCTACCTACTTGGAAGTAAATCCCACTGAGTTCAATGAGGTGTTAGGCTTGTTGCCATCATCTCTTAGGAATGAATACTATTGAATTCACTGGGAATTGTTTTCAAGCAAACATACTGGAAGTCTGAATTGAAGTGTGTGTGTGTGTGTGTGTGTGTGTGTGTGTGAGAGAGAGAGAGAGAGAGAGAGAGAGAGAGAGAGAGAGAAGCATTGTGGCTATGGGGTACCAGTGAGTGTCAACTATAGGAGCCTAAAGCAGATGGCTGATCCTGAATGTCCCTGTACATGGGGGGGGGGGAATATGTTCACACATCCAGCATGCTTTTTAAAATGAGTATGTATGTGTGTCATGGGACATGGGTGGCGCTGTGGGTTAAACCACTGAGCCTAGGGCTTGCCGATCAGAAGGTGGGTGGTTCGAATCCCTGTGACGGGGTGAGCTCCCATTGCTCAGTCCCTGCTCCTGCCAACCTAGCAGTTCGAAAGCACGTCAAAGTGCAAGTAGATAAATAGGTACCGCTCCGGCGGGAAGGTAACCGGCGTTTCCGTGTGCTGCTCTGGTTCACCAGAAGCGGCTTAGTCATGCTGGCCATATGACCCAGAAGCTGTACACCGGATCGTTTGGCCAATAAAGCGAGATGAGCGCCGCAACCTCAGAGTCAGCCACGAGTGGACCTAATGGTCAGGGGTCCCTTTACCTTTACGTATGTGTGTAGGTTACGGACTGTTCTCTGCATCTAACATATACTGCTTTCAACAACAAAAAAGTGGTAAAAGCTCACCCGTGTACAACTGTGCACTGTACGCGATGGGGCGGGGAGAGCTGTGGATTAATCCTGGCTGTGCAAGAGATTCTGCACCCAGGCGTAGCCAGGATTTATGTTGAGGGTGGGCAGAACCTCAGTTAGTTAAGGATTTCTGTTGATTTATTTGATTTGGAGGAGGGTCGCTGCCCCCCTTGGCTACTTCCATGCATATATATATATATATATATATATACACACACACACACACACACACACACACATATATATTTTACACCCACACACCAACAAACTGTGCCCTCAGAGTTTGGGAAAGAGACGGCAAGATTAATACCACAATGACTTATCACAAATGGATATATATATATATGCAGTTTTTTGCCTCGCGAATGCTCCCCCCCCCTCCGAGGTTGAAAGAGCCCCCGGCGACTCGAGGAGAAGCGGCAGAAGCGGAGGCCATTTACCTCGCCGGGGCTTTTAAACCCCTCGCCCTCCCTCGCGCTCTTTCTCGAAAGGGACCAGGCGGCCCGCCGCCGCCGTTGAGTTGCTATGGCAGCGCGCTCGCGCCTCGCCGTCTCGTAGCAACCGCGAGAACCATAGAGAAGCGCGTGTCGGTGGGGGGGATGGATGTTCGGCGGAACGCCTAGAGCGACACTTGAAAAGACGCGTTCCGCGAGGACACGAAAGGAGCGGGGGAGAAGGGGGGGGAAACTCTATGGTGGAAACCCCTCAGGTGCTTCGCTGTGGGAGCTGGGATAGAAAAGGCCTTCGAGCTTCGGGCCGGAACTGCAGTCTCTGTGTTGATTCGACGTTCTGTGGGCAGGGACGTCGGGGGCGCAGGCGCAGTAGGAAGGGAAGGGAAGGTGCGTTTAGGTCGCCCAAGTACCAAGGTGGGTCCTTTTTTTGGGGGGGGGGGGTTGTGCATAGAAGCCGCCTCGAGTCTTGTCAGAGAAAAAAGGCGGGGTATAAATAACACATAATATAAATACATATATATTAAATATAGCATATTTTATATATTTATAAATAATGTACTATATTATATATTCTCGTATACAGTATATGGCTTTTTTTTTTAAAAAAAAGGGGTGCATTATGGCTATTTCAAAAGCATCAATCAGCGCTCTCCCCATTCTTTGGAAGCAAGAACAATTCAAGCAATTGTTCACATTTTCAATACTGCTTTGATCTTTAAGAAGGGCCAGTTTTTTGTTTTAAAAAGTAAATAAAGCATATTTTAGGATCATAGAACTGTTGAGTTGGAAGGGACCCTGAGGACCATCTATTAAGTCCAACCTCCTGCAATGCAGAATAATTATTATTCCAATTATTAATGGAACATTGCACTTTGATGTGTGTAATCTTCACATTAATGGTGTTCACAGCAGAGACTTGTAACGAGATGCACACTTTTAAGGATCCCAAAACGGTGCCAGAGTTGGGTGGCTAAGGAGAGATTACTGGAGCAAGCCTATGACAGGGCACATAAGTTTCCGCACCTTGTAAATGCTGGTTTGCCTTTCAGCTGTCACACTTTTAGGTATGGAATTCTCTGAGGTGCTCACAAAACTCATCCATCCACAAAGATCCCTTGCTTCAAAGAATGGAAAAACTCCAAGCAGAGAAAGGGAGACATAGGCAGGTGTCTCCACTGAAACTATAATGGGGACGGCTACTTGCACAGAAGAGACCTGGATTCAGTCAAAATGCAGTGTGTGGCTCAAAACTATGCACTGTGTCTCAAAACTAATCTCTACAGCCTTGAAGACTGGAAACTCGCTCAGACACTCCATGCACCAGGTACTGAGTAATAATGTTCTCATGGCACCACAGAAAGTTACCATCCTACTAGCACTAGGAATATATATATAGCTGAACAGCTTAATCTGAACACTGTTTTGTTCCTACAGTATTACCTTATATTTTGATTTATTGATGTCAGTCCCATGCCACTGTTTTTGTTGTTTAGTCGTGTCCGACTCTTCGTGACCCCATGAACCAGAGCACGCCAGGCACCTCTGTCCTCCACTACTTCCCGCAGTTTGGTCAAACTCATGCTGGTAACCTCGAAAACACTATCCAACCATCTCGTCCTCTGTTGCCCCCTTCTCCTTGTGCCCTCCATCTTTCCCAGCATCAGTGTCTTCTCCAGGGAGTCTTCTCTTCTCATGAGGTGGCCAAAGTACTGGAGCCTCAGCTTCACGATCTGTCCTTCCAGTCAGCACTCAGGGCTGATTTCCTTCAGAATGGATGCGTTTGATCTTCTTGCAGTCCATGGGACTCTCAAGAGTCTTCTCCAGCACCATAATTCAAAAGCATCAATTCTTTGGCGATCAGCCTTCTTTATGGTCCAGCTCTCACTTCCATACATCACTACTGGGAAAACCATGCCACTGTTTATGGTTATATAAAAAAACCCTACAAATATCGCCTTCCTTTGGCAATTATTCTTGGGCTTGCAAACTTGGGCTTTTCTTCTTTTTCATTTTAAAGTATGTTTCTAGTCCTTGGAGGCAACAGCGAAACATATAGGAAATGGGTGGTGAGATATGGATAGCAAGTGTGAAGCACCCCACATACTTCCTTTCCCATTACAGTGGCACCTCAGGATGCGAACGGGATCCATTCAGGAGCCCCGTTCGCATCCTGAATAGAATGTAAGACATGATGGTGCGCGTGCGCGGGTCACGTTTTGCCGCTTCCACGCATGCGTAAGCGGCGAAACCCAGAAGTAACGCACTCCGTTACAACCCGAAAGCTCTCAACCTGAAGCACATTGAACCCGAGGTATGACTCTACTAATAGAAGAACAATAAATAAACTTGGAGTAAGTGCACTTAATTTGTGTAATTGATACAAGTAAACAGAATCCAGTTTCATGCTGGCAGCCTTTGGTTCTACCCGCTCCACTCCCTTTAGAACAGAACACACACAGCCCTGCTTTGTGCTGCAATAAGATAGCAAGTGTCAAGGCTTTTTCTTAATAAACTTTAATAATCTTTGCAGATCAGGTTGTCCGGGATAAAAACAAAAATTACAAGATACTGCATTTCTGCAAAATGCTACAGGAAAAAGCACAGCATCGCTGGCAATATCCCAGTGGTAAGACTGCTTGGATATTAAAAACAAAAACAAAGACCATCAATGACAGATAATTGTGCAACCAAACACATGTATTACCAGAAAATGCAGTATTTGGGGGGTAAAATATGCTCCTGTACAGAAAAGTACACCATTATAAATATTGAAATGTGTAATATTTGCATGTCCCAGAGGATCAGGCACAAAAGACTCAAAATTAAGATCTTTGTACAGTGAATTAGAAGTGTTTTTGGCCATCTCTCATTACTATGCTCTTTTTATTTGGAATTTTGTGAAATATTTATTTAGAAATAAACCTCAAGTGTATCAACACATTTTATAGCCCAGAATGTCTAAAATGAGGTAATGCTGCAAAATACCAAAGATGGACCTCTTGTTAGATAGTCCAGTTCCACTTCTATTACACAATTCTACTATTCTACTGGGCATGAGCGTAGATTGTCAGAAATCTTAACCACCGCCTCTGCCCCCCAAACATGGAACCAGAACAGCTCTCGACATATTTCTGCTTTTTCTTTCAAGCACAAAGACATATCCTGAAGACAGTAGACAAATTCCTTGGTAATCTATTCAATACACATAATTAAATATACATGATGTTCAAGGACACAGTCCTGAATGGCCACACAACTGCATAGCATTAATGTTTCTCAATACAATAAACCTAAATCAATTTCTCACTGTTTTTGAATAGGATGTTGTGTGTTTTAAGCACACAACTGAACTGTACTTAAAGCTTCGGCATAGTTCCATTTGTCTGTCTCAGAACTATTTACATTAAAAATGCATATCTACCTGCAGAAAATAAGTACACGTATAAAAATATGAGAATTGGTGAACTTGATTGGGGGGGGGCCTCTTCCTTAGCGCTATCATTGTAAAGATCAGCTCTGTTTTATTTTTGGTTCTCTTTCTGCTGTTGTTAATACTATAAAGGTTTTCTCCCATAGAATCTACAAATTTCCCCCCAAAACCTCTAGCATTACTGCCATGCAAATTAATGCTAACCATTTCTAGAATTACAGGTGTTCATTTTTAATATGGTATGCTATAAAGTCCATAGTACAAATTGCAACTTTGGTTGTAAGAAGGTTTCAGGCCACTCAAGAAAAAAGGAGGGTCTTTCGTAACATGTCCCAGCCTTTAAGTTCTCTGTGCTCTTGAATAAACTTGTCAGATAACCTTCTGCGCTATTCTCTAGAGAGTAAATAAATCCTTGCAAGCATTTAAACTGTATAGCTTCAAAGATGTAAAAAGGAAATATTGGCTTATGCATTGGAAATGCATTCTTCCACAAACCTCTCAATTAGCAGATTTAAGTATTCCTGCCACTTAGCTCTAATGAACTTTGATTTAAGTGCTTAGAAATTCATTAAAATTCTGTCTTTCAGTGCCAAGGAATTAATGCCTTCCAGCCAAACAAGCAATGCCAAAACTGCTTGAAGGAGAAAAATCCATCTTGATTTACCAGTTGCTGTACAATATTATAAACTTACACATGGAAAAAGAGAATCAGGCAATAGAAAATTTACATCAGCTTTGATGTTATATAAAATGATAAAAAAATGAAGCTTATGTGTTCTTGCCACAGCCACTTCACTGCTGACTGTAATGGTCATTTTGTTTTTATATTGATGAGCCCCCAGCTTTGCAAAAATTACATTTGGGAAATGGCCAGAGCCACCATAAAAATGCAACTGTTGTTTTTTTCCCCAAAAAAAAGTGTCTTGCCTCTTGCAGTATTGCTTTGTGGCACATATGTCAACAGAACAGCAGTCCAAAACAAAGTGGCAACTAGATTTAATAAATTAATATTCTTTTAAAGATGTACAATGAACATTCATTTTTTAATTCAGGGTATTAGGGTATTGCTATTTACACATTTACAGATCTCAGCGCTGATAACTTCAGAAGTTGCAGGTAAAAGGTGCACAGCCTTGACTGCTTCCTGAACGCCATGAAAAAAGTAAGCCAAAATTAAAAGATAAGAACCCAGCTGAGAGGACTGTTGGGAAAGACACCCAAAGAATGAAGACCAGTCAATGAAAAAGGACACAAAGGCAAGGGAAGATCAAGTAATTCCATGTGAGCGTTTCTATTCTTGTGAAGACTGAGGGGGTGGGGCTGGTGTCCCTTGTTTTCCAGTTTTCCTTTCGTAATTCACAAGTCGCTGCCCAACAAGGTACCTATGATTTAAAAAACAAGCAAACACACCATTATGTTTGGTCATCACATGCTGTTAAAAAAAAATAGTGGGCAGAGTAAATGGGGAAGTATTTCATTTAAAATACTTTGCTGATGGAAAATTTGCTTGCAGTCATTAAGATCCCAATAGCAAGTATACAGAATATATTTTTTAAGCTTCTTATATAAAAGGAATGGACATTCAAAGTACAGTGGTACTTCGCAAGGCGAATGCCTCGCAAGACAAAAAACTCGCTAGACGAAAGGGTTTTTTGAGCTGCTTCGCAAGACGATTTTCCCTATGGGCTTGCTTCGCAAGACGGAAACGTCTTGCAAGTTTGTTTCCTTTTTCTTAACACCGTTAATACAGTTGCGACTTGACTTCGAGGAGCAACTCATAGCACGCGGTGTGGTAGCCTTTTTTGAGGACTTTGGTGATTTTTGAAGCTTTTCCAAAACTTTCCCGACACCGTGCTTTGCAAGACGAAAAAAATCGCAAGACGACAAAACTCGCGGAACGAATTAATTTTGTCTTGCGAGGCACCACTGTACAGAAAGTTACGAATGTTTTTATTTTGAACACCTGCTTGATCCCCTTTGCAAATTCCAAATGGGCATACCAACATGAATCGCTTCACAGAATTTCTGGTTTTGAAGAAAAGCTTTCAGTATTTCCAGCGGCAGTGGCATTATCATCTCTATTTAGACTCAGTAAATCTGATCCAGTAGTCTGTCACCTCACTGTTCATCCCAGATGCTTCAGAAAAGGTTTAAAATACCACTTTCACAATGCTCCAAAATCTATCCAACACTTCTAGCTTCCTAAAACTTTAGCATACTAGTATTACTGCCCCAGAACTGATGAACTTTACTAATGCAGGTACTCACTTGTCATTTTTAATGTGTTCATAAAGGCGCTTGAACTGACGGACCTGGAAAGATAAGATCCCCATCAAAACCACCACCATGAGCAGAAAAGGATAAATTCGACGTTGCACTAGGTTTTGCATTTCAGGAGTGACACCTGCAAAAAAGTTAACAAGAGCAAATGAGCTAAAGGTTAAAATAAAGGCTTTGCATTTCAAATATTGGAACTGGAGCAACCAACAAGCAAAACTCTACCAATATCAACCTCTTCATTCTTGCCTTTCATCTCACCAAGTGATAGGTGTCAGTGGCTGCTGGTTTATGTGAACAGAGAAGAATTTTTCCTGAAACCTCTTCTGCTTGCTGGTATTCGGATTTTTGTCAGCAAATAGGCTTCCAGAGTATCAGAACATTTCTGTCTTTGCAAAGCCGAATTCATAGAAGCTGGAGCTAATAAAGTTATGGCCTGTTTAATATCCAGTTGCATGTTTGGTTTATTACCGTGTCACACCCCCACATATTCTCCCTCGGTAGGGACAACCATATTTTATAATGGAAGCTCAGAACATGAACACATTTGTTGTTGCTCAATAAGCCATTCTCCACTGCGCCCTAGCAAGCTACTGCCATCTACAGAACAAAATAAGTAATGCAGTGTTTTCTGGGGAAGGACACATTGCTTATCTACAAGGAGAAGCCACTGACTACAGCCACACTGTAAACGCTGTAAAGTCTTCCAACTAGTATTTGTAATTTAGTTGTATGATTAACCTGAATAGCTCTGAAATGGAGAATTCGTAATACAAATAATTCTGAATTAATAATTCAATCTTGAATGCTGCAGCCATGTTTTTATTTGAATGATTGTAAGCTCATTATGCATGGGATGTGGGTGGTGCTGTGGGTTAAACCACAGAGCCTAGGACTTGCCAATCAGAAGGTCGGCGGTTCGAATCCCTGCAATGGGGTGAGCTCCCGTTGTTCAGTCCCACTCAAGGTGCAAGTAGATAAATAGGTACTGCTCCGGCGGGAAGGTAAAAGGTGTTTCCGTGCGCTGCTCTGGTTCACCAGAAGCGGCTTAGTCATGCTGGCCACATGACCTGGAAGCTGTACGCCAATAAAGTGAGATGAGCGCCGCAACCCCAGAGTCGGCCACGACTGGACCTAATGGCCAGGGGTCCCTTTACCTTTAAGCTCATTATGTCCTAGATATACAGTGGTGCCTCGCAAGACGAAATTAATTCGTTCCGCAAGTCTCTTCGTCTTGCGAGTTTTTCGTCTTGCGATGCACGGTTTCCCATAGGAATGCATTGAAAATCAATTAATGCATTCCTAGGGAAACCGCCTTCAGACCAGTTCCGGGGACAGTCTGTCCCCCAACCTCTTCTGAAGGCTTTGGGGGGGGGACAAGGGCTTTTCTTCCCACCCCCAGCATTTTAAAAAACCCCGGGACAGCGGAGGACTTCTCCGCTGTCCGGGGCAATCTTAAAATGCTGGCGGGCGGCATTTTAAAATCGCGCGGGACAGCGGAGGACTTCTCCGCTGTCCGGGGCGATTTAAAAGCCCCTGGGAAGGCAGGCAGGGGGGACAAAGATTTTCGCCCCCCGCCCGCCTTCAGAAGAGGTACTGGACCGGGCGGGGGCGAAAGTCTTTGCTCCCCCCTGCCTGCCTTCCCGGGAGAGCGGAGAAAGGCAGCGCGTTTCTCCGCTGTCCCGGATGGCTTTTGAAGGCAGGCGGGGGGGAGCAAAGATTTTCGCCCCCCGCCCGCCTTCAGAAGAGGTCCTTGACCTCTTCTGAAGGCGGGCGGGGGCGAAAGTCTTTGCTCCCCCCTGCCTGCCTTCCCGGGAGAGCGGAGAAAGGCAGCGCGTTTCTCCGCTGTCCCGGATGGCTTTTGAAGGCAGGCAGGGGGGAGCAAAGACTTTCGCCCCCCGCCCGCCTTCAGAAGAGGTCCTGGACCTCTTCTGAAGGCGGGCGGGGGGCGAAAGTCTTTGCTTCTCCCCCCCCCCCTTCAAAAGCTGTCCTGGACAGGCTTCGCGGACCTCTCCGCAAGCAGCGGGAGCGTTCCCGCTGCTTGCGGAGAGTTGCCAGCACGCCGAAGCCTGCGCGCGCTGAGATCAGCGCGCCCAGGCTTCGCGGCCCCGCCGCCCGGCATCGGAGCTTGGTTCCGATGCCGGGCGGCGGGAGGAGGCGTTCCCGCCCCGCCGCCCGGCATCGGAGCTTGGTTCCGATGCCGGGCGGCGGGAGGAGGCGTTCCCGCCCCCCCGCCCGGCATCGGAGCTTCGTTCCGAAGCCGGGTAGCGGGAGGAGGTCCGAGGACAGTGGGGAAGACGCGCTGCGCTTCCCCGCTGTCCCGGAGATTTCCCTATGGGCTTTCGTCTTGCGAAGCAAGCCCATAGGGAAATTCGTTTTGCGAAGCGCCTCCAAAACGGAAAACCCTTTCGTCTAGCGGGTTTTCCGTCTTGCGAGGCGTTCGTCTTGCGGAGTACCACAGTACCATATTTTTTGGTGTATAAGACTCTGTTTACCCCCAATTTTTTTAAGTTTAAAATTGGGGGTCGTCTTATACATGGGGGCATCTTATAGATGGAAAAATACGGTACTTCCAAGGTGACAAATGACAATGGGTGGAATTCAACATCACCCTCTTCCAATTCCTCCATCTGCACAAGCATTTCAGCTTGCCAGATGGAACAATCTCCCGTCTCCTCCCCCCATGTGTGGTTCAGGGGTTCTCCTGACACCACCACCCCAAGCCAATTTCAGAAATGCACAGGGTGAGGGGGAAAGGAGCCCAGTTGCACAAGCGGAATCCCTTGTGCAGAGCTTCCACCAACGATGCTGGTTTGGTGAATCCCACTCATTAGGTCTTTCTTCTGAGTAGGGCTGCCCAATATTGCATTGTCACTGGACTCTAAAATACTAGCTATTTCGTGGTGGTAGCCCTACTCCCCATCTGAATGTTGTTTATGTATTTTGTACAGTTTCTTCTGTATAAATATTCACATGTTTAATAGGCTATTTCTGTTTACCTGAAATGATTCTTTTTAGGGTGCTATTTTAGCCACCACCTTCAAATTTAGCACATATTTCTATTTCATTTTTAATGACCTAGAAGTACATCTCTTTGAAAACAAAAGCTGGGAATCTCTAAATTTCAGCTAAAGCCTACAAACTGCTAAACAGCTTCAGGATCTATGCGTGGGCCAAAACTATGTAACTCTCCAAATGATGTAACATGATGGTTTTCCCTGAAGCTAGCAAACGAAATACTTCTTGAACCTTTGGGCAAGATGCAAAATGTGGTACATGAAGTACAGCTACCTAATGGAGATGCTTGACAGAACACTCATTTGACATTCTAACAAAAGATTTTTCATGATTCGTATCTTAAACTGGGACCCACACAATGAAATCTGTATGCCCATCTGCACTTACCTAGTAAAGGTACAATACCAGAAGCTATGATGTAAGGTACGCAAAGAGAAAGCAACAGAACTGAGATAACAGGCGCTGCAAGCTTCCGTATTATAAAGTGTAAGTCAATATTCCTAATTCCATTTGCGTAAACCTGAAAAAAATAAGACCACAGTCAAGATGCATGAAGGACGGCTGCCCGGCCCCTGCCATTAAACGTATTACATACAAAAATCTCCATATTTATGATTAAGAAGGAATGACAGCATTATAGCATTAAAATATTAGCATTAAATGTGGCAGTTAATATTTTAATATCAGCATTAGCATGTAAACGATGGTTTAGTGCTATCTAGATGAGCTGCAGGCTGAAGCAAGCCCAAACAAATTACTGAGCCTGCATATCTCCCCCTCCATTCACAGCCAGGAGCAGTTCTGCAGAAAGTAGTTTCACTTACAAATTAAGGTTGGCTTGCTGCCTCCTACAAACCAGGAATCCTGGCTTACAACAAACTCTATTAGTTTATGAAGCCAGTTTCATAACCCATGAGTTGAAGTTAACTTCTTTTGAAACTTAATACAGTTTGCTGCAAGCCAGGAACTGTATTCCTGGTTCATAGGACTCAGCATTCTTCATTCTTTAAAAGCAAAGCTATTGTTTGCAGACACTTTGCCTGGGCACACTGTATCTCATCCACATAGAGCTAAACCACAGATGAGTTTCCACGTACAGTGGTACCTCTGGGTGCGAACAGGATCCGTTCGGGAGCCCCGTTTGCATCCTGAAGTGAACGTAAGACGCGTCTGCGCAGATTGCGATTTGCCACTGCCGCGCATGCATGTGGCGTCATTTTGGGCATCTGTGCATGCGCAAGCGGCGAAACCCAGAAGTAATGCGCTCCGTTACTTCCGGGTCGCCGCAGAGCGCAACTCAAAAATATTTAAGCTGAAGCGTATTCATCCTGAGGTATGACTGTATCTCTAAACAGGTGTTTTAGTATATAAATCAACTAAAGCAGATTTGGGAAGGAGAGGGAGAGGTTTTGTTGCACAGGCAGAAACCTCTGTGCAAATGGGACAACTTGGTTGGACAACACCCATTATTTATGTCCTAATAATCAAGATCATTTTTTCTCCCAATATATAGAAATAAAAATATACAGTAATTAAACGAAAAGCTCAACACAGATAGAAACCCAAAATTGGGGGAGTGGGGACACCTGGGAACAGAGTATTTGTTAGGTGCTGCCTCATTTGTTTACCGTATTTTTCGCACCATAGGACGCACCGGACAATAGGACGCACCTTGTTTTAGAGGGGGGAGAACAAGGGGAAAAAATTCTTCCGCTCTCTGCCCAGCGCCCCTTCAGCGAAGCGGCAGGAGGCGCTGCGCAGAGAGTGGGAGAATTTTCCCCCTCTTGTTTTCCCGCTCTAAAACAAGGTGCCGTTTAAGGTGCGTTCAGGCGGCTACCTTGGAAGGTTCCTTTCGACCTGCTCTTTGGGGCTGGCGGGGGGGAAGTCCACCACCAGCCCCAAAGAGCAGGTCAGGGAGCAGCGGAAAGGCGCAGCGGAGAGGCTGGTGCCATAGTCACACATCACTTCTCCAGCTGGGAGAGTCGCGGGTGGCTGCTTTAGCCCCGCACGCGCTCTCCCGGCTGGAGAGGTGACGCACGGCTATAGAGGCTCCTGCCATAGCCGCGCGTCACCTCTCCAGCCGGGAGAGAGTAAGCCAGGCTTCTTTAGCTCCACGCGCGCTCTCTGGGCTGGAGAGGTGACGCGCAGCTATGGAGGCTCCTGCCATAGGCACGCGTCACCTCTCCAGCCGGAAGAGGGTCGCGGGGCTATGGCGTCTTCGCTCCATAGGACGCACACACATTTCCCCTTCATTTTTGAAGGGGAAAAAGTGCGTCCTATAGAGCGAAAAATACGGTATATAAACGGGGGGAAATGTACAAGGAAACAGGCATGTGTCTCCAAGGAGCTGTGCATTCTGTATTATGGGCCCAATTCTGTGGCACTGCCAGTTGAAGTCAGACAGCTCCTCCTCCTACTGATCATCCAACACCAACTGAAGACTTCTTTTTTTATTCCAGCAGGCATTTTAATTGAAGTCTTATTTTATAGTTTTAACTGACTTTTACCCTTCTGCATTGCACACCATTCAGAGATTATTGTAGTTAAGTAGTATATAAATTGTTTAAATAAAATAAATACACTTTAATAATTTTAAGTTGTTTTTAAGTCTATAATACATGCTTCTTGGTACTGTAGATGCCTCCATTATAGTGCATATGTAATAAAATGAAAGTATGTTTTGTACTGTGTGTGTGCAAGGTTTGGTTGTGGCTTATACCATGTGACCATTAGAAAACCATTGTAAAATTATAATATAGTTGGATTTAACCCATATTGCCATTTTAGTTTTTAAAATGATACAACCAAGGGTACTATATGTTGAAGATGCTATAATAAGGGTGATCTTTTTCACATTTGCCATGTTCAGATGATAATGGCTTAACAGAGGTGTGAATAAACCTTCCCATAACCAAACCAGGAAATCTACAGATACTTAGTTTCCTGTTATATCTGAAGAAGGAAACTGTGGCTAATGACTGCAGCAAGGCAGAATATGAAGTCATGGTTTCAAGTGGGCTTCTAGCTTATTCCAAAATTGTTTGTCAAAGTTTCCCAGTTCAGACAAAACGTAATTTACAGGTAACTTAAGACTTCCTCAGTTGTTTGCTAGGTTATACTGAGGAACAAAGCATCTTATTGAGCCAGGATGTGATCATCTGAACAAGGTAACAGTAAAAGCAGAAATAAAACTTAGAAGGTATAGAGACAAGGCATGTTCAACTCATGGAATCAATAAGAAACATCATTTGGAGGGAAATATTTGATAAAAGTGTGCCTTATATAATAAGAAAGGTTTCTATAGTGTTATTTGTTGCAATTTGTTTAACACTTAATTTGTTTGCTATATTTGCTTTGGAAAAACCTAACCAAAAGTAGCCCTGTAATACTCACTTACATTTTCTCCCTGCTTTTTCCCTTAACACTAGTGACATCCCTTCTGTGCAAAACCTTTGTCAACATTTGTTACATTCTCCTCTGAGTGATAACCCATTGTAAGGTTATGCTTTTGGAGAGTGGGGAGAGATGAGAGCTATTTTGTAGTTTCTTGGTCAGGAAAACACAGTTCCAAACTGAAAATTCAGTAATACTTTATGGGTATCAAGCCAAAGTCTCCCAAGCGAGAGGACAGATGCTAAGTTTTAGAGGTAGCTAAGGAAGAAGAAAAGAGAATAAACCAGGGATAAGGGACCTAGAGGCCTCCAGATACTATTAGACTCCAACTCCCATCAGCCACAGCCAACATAGCCAGAATGTCAGGGACGGTGCAAGTTGCAGACCAACAAGCTCTGAAAGGCCACAGGTTCCCTAGTATGGGCAACTTAATGGTCTGTATGTTTTGTTTGCCTCCCTTGCACCAAAGAAGCAGTTCTTACCTGTTCAATAACAGTTTTCAGCCACCACTGAGGGCCCATCAGAGTTATGGCAGCAATTATTTTGGCATGCAGAACACCAAGAGCCCAGTCCTAAGTCAAAACGAAAACAATGATTATTTCTATACCATCGTCAATATGCACAGTGATTGTAGAGTAAAAGGGGGCAGGCTCTTACATACACACCCCAAATTGTTGCCTATAATTTGCTGATGTAGGGAATTTGCTAATACAGAGGAAGGGCAGGAAAATAGATGCAGGGACATATATGAAATGAATGTGTGTTATTTTCGTCACACATACTTAAGAGTTAAGTTGTGAATGCCGCTTGATTTTTTATCTTATTTGTATTGTACTGATTTTATGTAAATCACCTCGAATAATTTTTTGTGAAAAGGCAGGGAATATATAAAAATAGCCCTATGTTCACTTTCAGTTTGCTTTCAGTTACAATGAAGCTCACAGTAGTAATAATAATAATAATAATAATAATAATAATAATAATAATAATAATTTATTATTTATACCCCGCCCATCCAGTTTCCCCAGCCAGTTCTAAGGCCACATTCATTAGTTTAATTTCCTGCAAAAGACAACATTTGGAACTATTGAAGTTTTATTCATTCATTCATTCCCCGCCTTTTTCCCTGGCGGAGCTCAGAAGCCTAACTTCTACAACAGCACTCAAAACGAAAAGTACAGAGCTAACCTGCCATGGGTAGAATAGCGGTGTCTGGTCCAGGGGAACTCTCAAAGGCGCAACAATAACCAGCTCAAACAAAAGTCCAAGCAAAAGTGGAACTACACCTGCCAGCAATATAGCCACTATTAATGTCTTCATTATCTAAAAAGTAAAAAAAAGAAGAGAAAACTTAATTTAGTGACACTTCAAAACCTTGTGGCTGTACTTACACAACATCACAATAAAACGGAGTGCAAAGAGAAACAAATACGCAGAACCAGATTTAGAAAGGATTTAGTGAGTCCTCTGGAGCAGTAATTTCTAAGGCAGCTGCCTCTGACAAAATATATCAGAGAAAGCGCAGAGAGAGTAATGAAGGAAAGGAAGTCTACTTTCCTTCAGCTGGCACATATGAACGAGAGCTCACTAGGGTTCATACCCGGGGTCAGTTGTCAATGCTATAACTCTTCCCCAAAATATGTGAAGGCAAAGTAAGGAAGTTTGTGCTACTATGTGCTGAGTGAGGTTCAGCACTAATACTCTTTGCCAAATTCTCCACTCCAGCTTATGCTCAGAGGACAAGAGTTCACAGGCAGGTTTGAGAGACCTAGGCTCTCTCCTTCAAGAAATCAAAGAGTGGCTCTGGTCTTTCATTACCCTCCAGCCTTTGTTGCCCAGATCTGGTGAATAACTGAAGGCCATGAAGCCTATGGCAGTTTTGGGGGGAAATGTTACAACTAATTATTTCTTTGATTTCCTCTTTCTAGAGAAGGCCCATAGTGGAGGAAAACATATTTGTCACAGTTGCTTCTTGAATAGTTAGACAAACACTCCGTCCACATCAATTAAGTAATAATACAGTGGTGCCTCGCAAGACGAAATTAATTCGTTCCGTGAGTTTTGTCGTCTTGCGATTTTTTTCGTCTTGTGAAGCACGGTGTCGGGAAAGTTTTGGAAAAGCTTCAAAAATCACCAAAGTCTTTAAAAACCTCAAAAAAGGCTACCACACCACGTTCTATGAGTTGCTCCTCGAAGTCAAGTCACAACTGTATTAACGGTGTTAAGAAAAAGGAAACAAACTTGCAAGATGTTTCCGTCTTGCGAAGCAAGCCCATAGGGAAAATCGTCTTGCGAAGCACCTCAAAAAACAAAAAACCCTTTCGTCTAGTGAGTTTTTTGTCTTGCGAGGCATTCGTCTTGCGAGGTACCACTGTAATAATAATAATTTATTATTTGTACCCCGCCCATCTGGCTGGGTTTCCCCAGCCACTCTGGGCGGCTTCCACAAAGACCAAAAATGCACTAAGATGTAAGTGCTTCCTGAAACTTAAAAGAAATGCATTTTTTCAGATGACTTACCATGAGGGACCATTCCTTAACTTTCTGAAAAATCACTTGTCGGCCCTGTGGCATCCAAGCAACAAGCACCGTCACCGCCCGAATGGTAAGCCAGCAAACATAGAGCCCACAAGCAGCTGTGTACAGTTCGTGGATTTTGGCGGTCCCTGTCCAAAAGGACATCAGCCAACGGCCAGCGAATACTAAAACCAGAAACATTAATGAATATTTAAAAGAAACACACACTGCCAGACAGCCATAAAATGATATGGGCCCAGAGAACTCATAAGCAAAGTAGCTTCAGAGTTTTCTCACACTCAATTGCAGCCCCCAGTGGTGCATGACAACCGCTTTTGAACGGAGGGCAGTTTAAAAAGCAATTCGTAATATTGAATGGGAACTACTTGTTCAAAGAAAGTAAAGTAAAAAGTTACATTACGTTTCCACAAGCTGATTAAATCCCAGCCACTAATTTGAATAGATCCAATTTTGTTTTAACCCCAATATTAAATTTATTAACCACCTTGCACAAAGAAAAACCAAGTCAACTAAAATCTGCAAAGCATTTGCCCCACTTTTCAGGAGCTAACAGAAGTCAGGCCAAAAACACTCCCTGCTGTAAGTTCACCCAAAGACAATGATAACTGTTAAAATGATGTGTACCAAACGAATAGTGCCTGAATTCATTTTTCTTTAGAAAAGACATGTGGATGGTGGTTATTTGGTGCTTGCATCAGGAGATCTGGGTTCAAATTCCTGACCAGCCACAAAGCTTACTGTGTGGCCTAGGGCTAGTCACGGTGTCTCAGCCTACAGCCTCTCTCTGAGAGTTGTTGTGAAAACAGTTGGAAGGGGAGGGGCAGAGAGGAGTACCATGTATGCCACTGCAAACTCCTTATGGGAACGGCAGGATAAAAATGTGAAACTTCCAGACAAAGGGACCCCTGACCATTAGGTCCAGTCGTGACCAACTCTGGGGTTGCGGTGCTCATCTCGCTTTATCGGCCAAGTGAGCCGGTGTTTGTCTGGAGACAGCTTCCGGGTCATGTGGCCAGCATGACTAAGCGGCTTCTGGCGAACCATAGCAGCACACGGAAACGCCGTTTACCTTCCCGCTGGAGCGGTACCTATGTATCTACTTGCACTTTGACATGTTTTGAACTGCTAGGTTGGCAGGAGCTGGGACCAAGCAACGGGAGCTCACCCCGTCGCAGAGATTCGAACCGCCAACCTTCTGATCGGCAAGTCCTAGGCTCTGTGGTTTAACCCACAGCGCCACCCGCGTCCCTGTGTGAAGTTGTATATAGGAGTAAATAGCAGGGCCATACTGAACAGCCCCATCCCCATCCCCAGTATCTGCACGTACAGATATTTTGATTAAGCCATCTATGGTTAGAGCAGAGGTCGGGGGCCAATCTTGGGCCACGAGGCCATTTTACCCAAACTACACCCACCTGTCAATCAGCTAATGTCACTCTGAAGGGTGGTGAGGTCAATAGATGGGAAGAGTTCCATTATGCATTGGCTGTGCCACACACCCCCAGTTTCCCATGGGGAACTGTCACATGCAGCCAAAGCAGCAGGATTTAACCCCTACTCATCAGATGTTTGGAGGGGGGAAATCCTGCTCATTTCAATCCTGCTTGGTGCTGCTTCACCACCACATTCCCTGTGGGGAGCATGTTGGTGAAGCAGATCTCTCTCCCACCAGTCAACTTTGATAGGTGGGCAGGTCCAGCAAACTGTCAAAGTTGTGCTACATGGTGGAGTGGGAGCTAAAAATTTGGCCTGGTTGTCCAAAAATTTTCCCCACCCCTGGGCTATAGGCTCATGGCAAGTGAAAGAGTTTTATCTTCCATTTCATTTTTCAGCTGTGCTACAAGATTTAAGGCACTGGGTGGCCCAACCTTACATATATTTACTTGGATGTCAAATCTGCCCATGTTAAATGGGACTTATTTCCAAGTAAATATACCTAGGACTGTAGCTTTAAATTAACTAGCTGGTCCAATAAAAATTCATATTCACATTACATGAAGTCAGCAAGTTGAAGCAATTTCTAAAAGCTTTAAGGCGTCAACATGGTATTTTAGTAAGCACACGCCGTAACAGCCAAATGTAAATATGAAAGATGCCAAAATGACTATTTACTTTCATTTTTACTGAAATAACACTGGTCTAGTTATTGATTTATGAAAAAAGATCAGCATATTCAAAGTCCACACAACAGAAGATACGCTGTTTTCTGCATTACGTTTTCCTATTTTATTTTTCCACTCAAGCAATTTAAAATTAAATAAACAAGAACATGTTAGTAAGCAGCAGCAATTTGCTACTGTGAAATACATACCTGGTAACGTTAGGCAGATAAGACTTGCTATCAGTAGTGTTATACACATGAAAATGATTAACAAAAATATCTGAAAAACACAAAAACAAAGTGGAAGAATTGTAAAATCTATTTACAAAGAAAAAAGAAATAAAAAGGACATTTGGAAGACACCTTAAAATTTAGCAATTTTATTCCAGTTGTATGAGAGCCTGCAGTCAAAAGTAGAAAATATATTCATGAAATACCCCGTGTGCCTAGAAGTCACTGAAAGCATTTTGACAAAGCAACAGGCTCTGTGTCTGAATATAAGTAATTAACATTTCTAGTTCTCCTAATGCCCGGATCTTAAGCATTTATTTTTTTACTTGAAAACTACTGTATGTAGTCTTCAGAAAATCATGTTAGCTTTCTCTCCATGAGATACAGAATTTTAGACCTCCACATATACATTCAACCTGGAGAGGCGGACCTCAAGGCTAACTGAACATAAAGTGGCTTCCTCTGCAACTGGGTCTGACAGCCACACAGTGAAGGATCACAGGCAATACCTACAATTACACATTTTGTTTTCAGACTGCTTCCATAATATACTTCCTGAAACAAAAGTCACACATCCCTTTTATCGTTGTTCCTTTACGTTATGCCAATAAGCCCCAGAGTGGTGGGAAGCCATTCCTTTCTGTAAGAATCGAATGGGCAAACGAAGGGAACAAGATACTGAGCACTCACAAAAATACTGCCTTTAGAATTACTTGTTCCAGATATTGAAAAGAAATGGAGAATTAATTAACTAGATGCCAGTGAACTAAATTACGTACAGTGGTACCTCGAGTTACGAACTTAATTCGTTCCGGAGGTCCGTTCTTAACCTGAAACTGTTCTTAACTAGAGGCGTGCTTTTGCTAATGGGGCTCTTGCTGCCGCACACGATTTCCGTTCTCATCCTGGGGCAAAGTTCTCAACCTGAGGTAACTCTTTCAAGCTAGTGGAGTGTGTAACCTGAAGCGTTTGTAAGCTAAGGCGTTTGTAACTCGAGGTAGTAAAGGTAAAGGGACCCCTGACCATTAGGTCCAGTTGTGGCCGACTCTGGGGTTGCGGCGCTCGTCTCGCTTTATTGGCCGAGGGAGCCAGCGTACAGCTTCCAGGTCATGTGGCCAGCATGACTAAGCCGCTTCTGGCGAACCAGAGCAGCGCACGGAAATGCCGTTTACCTTCCTGCTGGAGTGGTACCTATTTATCTACTTGCACTTTGACGTGCTTTCGAACTGCTAGGTTGGCAGGAGCAGGGACTGAGGAACGGGAGCTCACCCCGTTGTGGGGATTCGAACCGCCGACCTTCTGATCGGCAAGTCCTAGGCTCTGTGGTTTAACCCACAGCGCCACCCGCGTCCCCCTAACTTGAGGTACCAAAGCAGGGTTGGCTAACCTGCCCCACCATCTGATGTTGCTAGACTACAACTCCCATCATGCCTAACTACCGACCATGTGAGCTCAGACTGATGGCTGTTGAGTCCAACATCTAGAGCAGAGCTTTCCAAACGTTTCATGCTTGTGACACACTTTTGAGACGTGCATCATTTCGTGACACAGTAATTCAGTTTTACTTGCCAACCGGAGTTTAAACTAACCCCTTTCCAGCCCCGGAAGCATTTGCAAGCTACACCTACACACTGCAGCCGACACACTAACATGTCATGACACACAGTTTGGAAAGCTCTGATCTAGAGGGCCAGAGGTTAGCCATCCCTGCTTTAAATGGACAGAACAACTCACCCTGAGTGGAAATTTTAAAGGCCGACGGTAAGGTTGAAAGCCAACAGGTCCTCCTTGTTGTAGTATGGCTTGGTGGGCTGCATGAAGACCTTCTCCCACAACCGGAATGGCATTATTATTGCGAGCAGGTTGGTTATTAGGCTGTTGGTTTGCATTGTTTTCATTCTCTTCCTGGTCTCCAAGTAAGTAAGAATGCAGATCCCTGAAAAAACATTTTTTAAAAAAATTGTGAACCATCTTGGCTACCATAAATGTTCCTATTAGTATTTAATGAATGTATAGGTATGATTAAAAGCATGATAATACAGTGGTATCTCTACTTACGTGCCCCTCTTGTTATGTACCCTTCGGGATACGCACACAGCAAACCCGGAAGTATATTTCCGGGTTTCGCCGCATGCACATGCACAGTAGCAGTCTATCAAGCCATGCGCGTGCGCAGAATAGGCACCTCTGGTTGCGGAAACCTTGGGATCCGACCAGAGCTCCGTAACAGATCCCATCCGCAACCGGAGGTACCACTGCAATGACACAGAATAGCTGTCAAAGGTCACTGAAATCTGTTGTGCTTTCACAACTGTTTTTAACATGCTACATGGTTCTGAAACCAAACGTCTCATTACTAACCGATTGGAACATCAAAAGAAAAACAACAGCCCTAAATGCAGCATCACAGATCTGGAATGAAGATGACCACACACCCTACATGGAATAGGATTCAAATAAGCGATGTGAGTGACATCTCTAATTCCAAGCATTACAGGGCAGGATAACTAGTGTATTGCCCTAATTATTAGTATTTTAAGCATTTTTAAATTCTTCTCCTACTAAAAAGGCGCCTATAGCGGCTAGCACATCAGTAAGAAACAAAAGAGTTCCTGCTCTCATGCTTACAATATAAAAGGTAAAAAATACAGAAACAAAAGGTAAAAGCGATGGGGAGGTCAGAAGGAAAACAAACTCAAGCACCAGTTCTTTAAGGTACAGTGGACTCTCTGGATACGAATTTAATTCATTCCAGGGGTCCATGCGCACCCGAAAAATCCACATCCAGAAGCGCCGCTTCTGCGCATGCGCAAGCAGCAAAACCTGGAAAAATACTTCCGGGTTTGCCGCTTTCGCAACCCAAAGTTTACGTTACTTGAGAGTAACGTAACCTGAGGGTCTACTGTACAGTTCTTACAGCAGGGAGGGAAACTGTTCTGGTAGCCTGATGGAATAGCCATTGATAGATGGTGAAAGAAGGAGTAAAAGAGCCAAAGATTAAATAGTCCTGTTCTTCCTCGGCTTCAGCCCGATGGAATGAAGTCTTAAAATAATTAGTAGCGGTACTTCACTAATGTTTGGGCCATAGGCCATTCACATAAAATAATTAAGATTCGGCAAATCTTAGGATCAGATGATCGTTTTCCCTCTCATCTGTATGTGTGCATGCTAAGTTTCTTCAGGAGTTGGTTAGCTTTCACACCAAGCTCTGACATCAAACATCCTATGAACATAAATTACTAGTCATTCCTACCCTCACAGATTTCAGAAACTAGTTAAAAGCCTCATTTTATCATATATCAGAATTTTGATATATATTTATATTGCTTCCCCCTTCCCTGCCTGAGAAAAATAGGCCCCTCAAGGTGTCATGAAGTTCCATGGAAGTGAGATTTATAATTGACACTACTGAGCACCCCCAAAAATGGACTGCCGAAGAGCAAGACACCTAGAAGAGCTTAGCCTCTTATACCTGGGGTGATCACATCAGAAGCTGCGCCCAGGCTAACTGAGGCATTATAGGTAAGAGTAGAGAACGCAGAAACAAAATGATGATTGTTTTTAATTAACAAAACTATTTCCCCTCTTGCATAACCATCAAACAGATAAATATTAGTAAAGCTGCACAACAATTTCCATTGGTACACTTATACAGAGTAACTTTTTAAAATATAGGTCATCATTACAAACCTCTGAATTTTTGCTATAAACCTCTGAATTTTATATAGAGGTTTATATAATTTTATAAACCTCTGAATTACAAACCTCTGAATTTTTGCTATAAACACTTATTCTGCAGTATCTAAACATTCCATTTATATTGTCTAGTCAACAAAAAACATTAAAGACATGTGGGTTATTTGTGCTTTATGGGTTCTTTACACTTACAGTAAGTACCCGGCAGTAACAGTCCATGCTCGTACAAGACCCTTCAACCACTGCCTTGTGTGTCCTTGTTCAAGCAAAGCTGGAAGCACCACCTGAAGCAAAAGTAGTTCTAGGGAAAGTTCACTCACAGGGGCATCACTGGGAAACAAATAAAGCAAGGATGTCATGAACAAATACCCGTTACATACATATAAAACTGGTATTTTGTAAGGCATTAAACAACCTGCAGCCTAGGGCCACTGTTTGTTTATATCCCACCTTTTCCTCAAGTTGGTCCCCAACCCCATTTTGTGCAGCCCCAGCAACCCCCAAAGTTGCCCAATCTTCCATCCCGTTAGAGTTCCTTTCTTCCTGTTTGTTCCCTCATTTCCCCCTTGTCTTTTCCCTTTACTAGTTTCAGGAAAATGGTAAAGGACAGTATTTTATTTGAATAAAAATAAATTGATGGTTTCCCCTGGTTTTATTACTTGGAGGGAAAGGTGGTGGGGTAGCACACTAACGTCAGAAAGGCATTACTTGCTTTCCAAAACAGTAGCTATTGTATTTTTAAAATCATCTGCATACTTATTGAGAGTAACCCCATCAAACCGAGTAGGGTTTACTTCTGAGTAGAACTGGAAATTCTAATTTGACGTGGCCATAGCAAAAACTGAAGCAAGGTGGTTTTTATTCCATATTAGTTAATCCAAAGCACTTTGGTGGCTCCACCACCATCTGAATGTATACCCTCAACAGAAAAAAGGTCGTCCACCTGTTTTATAGCTAGGATTCTTGCCTGGTTTGGAAGCAATACTGAACTATGGTTTGCTGTTATGTGCAGAAGCTTTGTGCTCTCCATATTCTCTTCTACCACCACTGATCTGGCCACTAGGAAATCAGAAGCTATCATCTGTTTTCATCTGGTTCATCATTATGTCCAAATTCAAAACTATGGTTAATCCTAATGGTAATTTAGAAAACAGGCTAGGATTGTAAACTACGGCCTGTTTAGTTAAAGTACAGTTAAGACTAATAACAGTTTGTCCTGATTCAGACATAACAAACAGTGGTTAGTTATGTCCATGCCGGAGGAGTGGAAAGAAAGCTTGCAAACGTAAGAACCATTCATGTAATGAAAAACCAAGGTTTAGCATTATGTTTGCACAAGATCATTGCATAGCTAGTATACTGGAACAAAGTTTACAGCTACAGTTAAAAATATGCACATATGCATTTGCAGTAAAAGAACATACTATGGAAGACAGAAAATATTCCAAAAATAAATTACCTGTAGAGCATTACATTATATGGAAGAAAATGAGGCAGCAGATATTTAATAATTCGTATAGGAAGCCAAAGCATGAGCAAGACGATCGACCCGAAGACAATCTGCAACAAGGAAGATACTCTGTGTGACAGTCTTAATTTAAAGTCTATTTATACACTAGCAAAATGCATGGACTGGACAATCATGAACACGTTATGAGGTTGTGCACTTCCTCCTCTGCTCTGTGCATTTTCTGTTCCTATCTGCTGCTAATCATAGTTTGCCATGACACTGAAATCAGAACAATCTGGTCAGCACTGAACTTAACAGTAAGACTCAGCAACCATTTTCAAGCCATGATTTCCAATTCTTTTTGCGAACAAGTGATAGCTAGCCATGGGCCACATTTGCACATCGTGCTAGGCCAAACCATAGCAGAGTGAATGTGTTGGTTCCTGAGGAGCAGACCAAAACTGCTTTGTTCCTCCGTGAGGTTTTTAGGTAACAGCTAAGCAAAGGTTTGGCTTAGTGTGTTGTCCAAACCTGGCATGCTGGTTAAGGCCTTTCCTCCTTATCCAATCATAGAACAAATCTTGGCCACAGATGGTGCTTAGGAAGGCGAGACCTTAACCACAATCCCAGGTCTCAACAACATGCTAAGCCAAACTTTGGCTCAACTGTTGCCCCAAGATGACTTAAAAAGCCTAAGGAGGAGCAAATCAGGTATGAGCTTCTGTCTGAGAGCCAGCCCAGTAACACATTAATTTCTGAATGCCATGGTAAACCATGGTTAGCACAAGACATGGAAGCTAGGAGAAGAGGGAGCATACTAGTTAACTGATTGTTTCTAGTCTTGCAAACTATGGTTTTGATAACTCTCTGCATCAAAAAACTGTTTTGTTTCTTCTTCTTTTCTTTTCAGTTTGCACAAGTTGTTCACACACCTAAGCAACATAATCTATGAATCAATAAATCAGAGCTCCATTGCAACAACCTGAAAGTACATTTTGGAATTTTCTGGCTCACAAGTTACATTATGGGCCTGCTACTAATATGAGATGCCAAAGAGAAAAAGAACCAGCTAAATATAATGTCTCCATTGGCACTTGGATAATTTACCTGTAGATGTGGGTTATCAAAGGGAAAAACCTATTTATGTCAAAATCTGGATACACAATTATTGGAAAATGAATCAGGAATGTTTCTATTTAGGCTGGGTTGTCACTCCTTCCTGGGATATGTACGCACTAAATTTTAGACAATCTACAAAACTGAAGCCACTAGATTTATTTCTGACTCTTCTCCCAGCATCAATTTTTGGGGCAGCAAGCTGAAAAGGATTGGATATTTTGCCCCAACAACCAAAATGTCTTGTGCCATGTCTGCTTAGAATATAATATCTTGTTGTAACAAAACATTATTCTGTGCAATTGTATGCTTCCTAGTAATCTAAGTGACCTGAAGATTAGACATTTTCCACACAAGAAGCCCCACATACTTGCTTTTAAGTAACATTTACGTTATTTTCCTGTAATATGATCTACTTTTCCTTGGCACTGCTGAACAGTCTAAGCTGGTTCTTGCTGAATCATCGTACTTCTGTATTTTATTGATACAAGTGAAACTTATTTCAGCAGTAAGTTACCAGCAAATATTTATAGAAAGGAAAAGAGACTTCTGGCCCCCATGGGTTGTATTCAACTAACTTTTATTCAGAATAGATTAATTGAAATTAGTTACCAAGATTTAGGCCTATTTCAATGTGTCTACTCTATGTAAACATGAACTGAATACAACCCAGTATCTTTGCATGCAGTTAGATATTTTGTTTGCTAATAAACAGAGAAACAAACATTTAAATTCTAAATAGAAACTGAACAGAAAAACATTAGTTGCTATAAAAATATCAACTTTTTGAAGAGAAACTGGAAACATGACTTTACCACTGATAAAATAAACCTCCTGAGATGTCTATAAATAGGCAGGTGAATCATTTCTTGAACTGGATTAAAGTCTGGATCATTTAAGTTCCTCAAAAACCAGAGGACGCCAGGTCTCAGTACCTGAAAAGAGAATATTAACATTTGAAAGAAAAATAAGTATAAGTAGGTTGATATTTGAAGGATTACAAGTTTTGACATTCCCCCCCCCAATAAATTACCGTATTTTTCGCACCATAGGATGCACCGGACAATAGGATGCACCTTGTTTTAGAGGGGGGAGAACAAGGGGGAAAAATCCCCCCTCTCTGCCCAGTGCCCTTTCAGCGAAGCGGCAGGAGGCGCTGCGCAGAGAGGGGGAGAATTTCCCCCCTCTTGTTTTCCCGCTCTAAAACAAGGTGCCATTTAAGGTGCGTTCAGGCGGCTACCTTGGAAGCCTGGAGAGCAAGAGGACCCCTCTCGCTCTCCAGGCTTCAGCTTCCTTTCGACCTGCTCTTTGGGGCTGGCGGGGGGAAGCCCACCACCAGCCCCAAAGAGCAGGTCAGGGAGCAGCGGAAAGGCGCAGCGGAGAGGCTGCTGCCATAGTCGCGCGTCACCTCTCCAGCTGGGAGAGGGTCGAGGAGCTATGGGTTCTTAGGGGGTTTAGCCCCACACATGCTCTCCCAGCTGGAGAGCTGGCGCGCGGCTATAGAGGCTCCTGCGTCACCTCTCCAGCCGGGAGAGGGTCGGGGGCTATGGCGTCTTCGCTCCATAGGACGCACACACATTTCCCCTTCATTTTTGAAGGGGAAAAAGTGCGTCCTATAGAGCGAAAAATACGGTAACATTATAGAGACCTTAAAGATTCCTTATTTTATGTTCAATATGGTCTGCAGGTTAACGAAACACTACCTACCTCCTCTCAAACTGGTTTAAAACAATTGAGTCAGTTGTTACCTGAGGAGGTAACAGCTGAGTTACGTCCAAGAGAATTACACGGCTGAATTGTGTCGAACATGGCTCTCATGCTCCCTCTGTCATGTCAATTCCTCCCTCTCTTCCACGGCTTACTAGGCCCATTCCTGTCCCTCAGCCAATAGCATATGGACCACAAGGTGCAGAGGTTCTATGCATGGGTGAGGGGAAACCTTGAGGGTTCCCAGTTCTCACATTCAGTTCCCAGAAGCAGTGTCTGCAAGGAATAACCCCTACCCCTTCAGCTATACAATGCATGTTCTTACACAGCAGGCCATGGCTCAGCAAGAGATGGTTCCCTGCAGTTTCCCATCCAGCAGCCAACTCTGCTGCCTGCCCTTACAAGCAATTTGTGCAATTTTCGCTCACACATAGAATCTGCAAGCAGCAGCCGTTGGGACTGCTCTTGTTCCACTGCAGAATAGCAAGCATATGCAAGACTGGCACTCTTTATTAAGCCAGTACAAGTTGTAGGGCAACACCTTGTCCCACCCTACCAATTATTTCCTGTCAGCAAAAGCTGGTGAACAGAGGTGAACACAAAGATAGAAATGCGGATGACATTAGCCGTTCCAGAGCCACATTCTTTCAACATATGGTTTTAGAAAATCACACTTCAGTCAAACCATACCTCTCTCAGCAAGAGAATGAAGGAAGCAAAGTAGAAGACATACACCATTCCCACTAGCCAGTGTAGGAACATTGTAGTGCCGGGGGCTGACTGAAAGCTCAATTCTCTATCCTTCAAAGTAGCATCAAACATTTCCTATGAAAAAGTTAAAACAGGGAAGTAATTCTTTTTAGCTCTCAGCAACTAGTAAAATTGCGTCATCTTTTATTTGTACATAACAGCAAAGTTCAAAATATATATTTGTAGACAGCATTTAGCAATGGTGAAAAAATAATGCAGCCCTCGCACAATAAATCTTAACAGACAGCAGTATATTCTATAAGATTTTCCATAGCTTATATATGTCAGATTTCAGCACAGAACTGTAGCCTTTTAAAATGAATCACCTTTGGTATAAAATCACCAAGAAAGCTATTGGAGATGGAGGATTCGTAGTCTTTGGAGATGGTCAACCACATTTGCAGCAAAACTAGCTAACGATTAAGGTGCAGCAACCTTATGGAGTTGGTAGGGGGAGATGGGAGAATCTGTGACGGGGCTACTGCCACTTCCTATGTCTTGCAGGCTCAATTAGGCCAGGCCAGGAGATGGGGATGGATTCCCCGCTGTCATATTCCATTTTCTTCCACCCATCCTCCTCTGCCAAACTGAATGCAATGGGAGGGGATTAACTACCTCGATTCCAGCGTCCTTCCTGGGAAGCATAGGATTGTCCCTTTAATCTCATAATAGTCATAATAACCTGTTTGAACTATGCCTGGAGAACAAGGAGGCTTAGGATCCTGTGGACCCACCACCTCCCTTTACACAGCTGGTTTTTGCCTCCATCACTAGCAGGACAGCAGTGGACCCTTTAACCCTCTCTTCTCCACCAGCAGAACAGCACTTCTGCTGCAAAAAGATGGGTCCGATAATTTCTTAATAGTCATAACTTCTTTTTGCATTACTGGTCCTATTTAACAGACACAACCTACATAAGCAACCCTCCTCCTGACTGCCCCTTAGAATGCAGTGATAAATGTCTGTCTCCTAATAAATGCTAATCTTACCAGAGAGCATATGTCCAGCCACCAGCCACAGATGAGGGGGAAAACACCAATTTCTACCACCACTAACAATGACACCTGCAGAGGGGGGAAAGACAGGTGTTTTTTTTATTTGGACCAACTACTGAATATTGATTTGTTATATTAAATAGACCGGCTTTTTAAGGCTAGAATACCTTGACAACTATGTAGCACACTCCAAGCAAGCGACGTGATCTCTGAAATTTTACAAGTGCTGCCAAGCCCTGTATAAATATGGTCAAGGAAAGTGAAATACTGATTTGTGAAGCAGAGGGCAGAAAAAGTTCATAGGAATGAGTACTGAGCAACTAGATGCCTGGAAATAGGAAACTGGTTGAAGGGGTAAGTATTCACTTAAATAGAGATTTAAGCAATGTTTAAAAACTGTAAGATATTCCTCACAAACACATACGGTCACTGTGGACCCAACACTTGGTACCCCTTAACTACAGTTGGGAGATCTGAAATGGACCACAGGAACGCACACTTCCTTTGCCCAGACCTTCCTCTCTCTGCAGCAAATGTCCCGCTCTTAATTCTTACATCAACCCCAACATTGTTAATGATAAGTTATCAAGAGTTCCTTCTTAACTAAAACCTGGAATCAGGTTTTGAAGCGAGTACGAAAGCCTTCTTAAGAAGGAACCCTTGTAAGCTTGACAGTGGTTAACATTGCTACTGATGTAAGAAATCAGGGCAAGAGTAGAAGGAATTTGTGCCTCAACAGGAATGAGGTTGCTCCAATCCTACAGCATGATTCTAATATCTTACTTGCAATTATGAGTTTCCCAACGGTGCACCCACACTGCTCCCATAAAGAGATAAAGACCATAAAATCATTGTTTCTTAGGCAAAGGTCGTGATTCACCTACCCAGCCCCATCAGAAGAGGCCTTGAATGAGGACTTCTACTTATGCAATGGGGCTTTCTCCCCTCTCCTCCCCACGCACCTGAGACTGTCTCTGGGGGTTGGGGGAACCCAAAGAGTAGCACACGAGGGATTGCACCATCTAGCAAGCTGAAATGCTTGTGGAGACAAAATGTTCATCATAGTGCAACACTGAATTCCATCCTGTGTACTTAACAATGACCATCCATATATCAAACACTGAAAACATGTGCAGTCAGTACTTATGAAAGGATACATGACAAACTATTAGTGATACTGCCAGCAGTACATAGCCAACTATTGTCGTGATTAGGCCTTCAAAGTGAGATGCTTGAACCTAAAGAAAACAAACACATGTTTAGACTGTGAACTCCTTGGAGTAAAAACCTGTCATTTTTGCTTTCAGAGGTTTGTAAAGCACCAAGTACACTGATAGGGTAGAATAAAGTATTTCAATACCACTTGTGACTACCAAAATGTGTTGATATTTTCAAGTTATCATTATTTTATACTTCCAACCTCATCATCCCCAGCCGGCTACCATGGATCAATCAAAAATTTTAACTGTTATCTATGAAGGAGTCACATATTACCAACATAACAAGATCACTGTTAATGGGGAGCAGGAAATATTACTGTGAACGAGATAGAATCAGAAGTCTCAGAAATAAAGCTTGGTTTAAAATACAGGTTCACACATGAAGAAGGATTTAATATTCCATATACAGTTCCACAAATTTTGGCCTGGTTTACTGGCTAAGCCATACTTTGTGGTTGCCACCAATTCTTCCTCTTTCCCAAGTCCTATAGTATATGCAGAGAACTTGAGTAAGAGAGGCTTTGGGTTGGACTATTGCAAAAGGTGGAAGCACCTTGCTGTGGTTGCCTTCCGTATAAGTCTCATTGGGAGGGAAATAAACTACTCCTTTCAACAAGGGGTGATTTCTATCCCTTTCTGCAAAAGTCATGTTGTGGGACAAACTGTGTAGTTTGTCTCCCACATGTTGAGTTTTAAATAAATGCTTAAATAAATAAATAAATGAAATACTTACATATTCTTCAAAGCCTAGCCCAACAATAGAGAAGTGACCAATATGATAGGGACAAAACGCTAGGAGGGAGAAGGGAAAAAAAACTAATGAAGTTTACTCTTTTCAACAATTCTCTAATGTGCGGCTTAAAATAATTTTTAATGAGCTAGCAAAAGGATAGAAATCTTTATGTTTGATCCGTTCAGCCAGCTACACAAAAGCTACACAAAACGTTTTCCATCATTCTACCCCTAGGGCCCATAAGACGGCTGAGGTCCCCACCAGTCACAAAATGATGGCAGACTGACATAATCAGCAGGCCATTACTGAAATCATCTTCTGCTGTTATCTAATCCATGTATAAAACACTACAAAAGCACTCTGTGCTTCAGTTGTGCAGCTAAGGGATAGGGGAGGGAACAGAAATAAACCTCTGGTAAATAAAATGAAAAACAATTCTAAGATGTTAGGGCTGTGATGTCAAATTGATACCATTGTGTACTGTCATTTACACAGACTTACACATGTTTAAACAAAAGAAATTTGAAATATTTCAAGTGCTTTTTTAATGTACAGATTCTTTCACAGGCAACCAAACTTTTAGTTTGATTACTGGAAACATTGCACATTGGGAAACGCATGCGAAGAAAATCAGAATTTCGTCTCTTGAGAATATTACAGAACTGCTGCTTAAAACTAATCCAACTCTACTCTAATTTGGGCCCATATGCACAGCAATTATCCTGAAAGAACTGTAAATGCAGTCACTTACCAAAGACAAGTATGAACAGTGTGTTTAATGACACCACCCAGAATACATGTTCCTAAGAGAGAAAGAGGGGAACACTTCAAAAATGGCAATATCAAAGTATTTGAGAAGTAACTTAAATTTCTTATCTTGTGTTCTCATCAATCACCCCATTTTGCCACTAATTTGTAGGTAATGAAATGTTAAAGCTTTTCTCAAATAAAAATTAGTAATAATTTTTGGCCCATTTGTATCAGTTTTCCTCCTAACAGGACAAAGGATATTACAGGTTCAAATTTTCAGAGAGACACAATATAAAGCACATTTTTCCCAAAAATGCCTAGCATAATCACACAGGAATAAAGGTGCTATTACTTCTTCCGATTCAGTAATAAAATGAACTGAAAGTATCTGATATAGTAAGAAAATATACTGAAGATTATAGATCAAGAAGACAAACAGATGATGCGAGACACAATCCAACTACAGAGTTTTAGTGCAACAAAGCTTCACTTACTAAAAAAACTAGGGATCCATCAAGTCCAAGCATCTAGAAGTAAGAGATGATTTTGCTGTCAGTAACCAGAATCATCTACATTCACGTAAGATTCAGCAGTCTCTGAAGCGTCAAGGACCTGTTATCCCCCATCATTTTTTACAATACGTGGGAGAGGTTGCGGGGAACCACAAAGTCCCCTAGGCTCTCTTCCACTTTTTCACATTTTTGGAAAGAGGATTTAGTGAAGAGCAGGTTGGCATGGTCTGTTTAGCCCTGCCCTTATTCCATTCCTCACTACATGGCTATCTAGCCAGTTCATCCAACTGGGACAATTAGGCAGCAGCTTTTCAAACTTGACAATGTCAGGCTGGATCTGTTGCCAGGCAATACTGTGGCAAAGAACAGATAAGAAGAATGAGTCAAACTCATATAAGAGTAAGCTTTAAGATCCGCCAGTCAGATGTTACATGAACCTGCACACACCTGCCAAACAGCTGGTGCTTAGGGGATTCCCTAAATACAGTGGTAAAGGTAAAGGTACCCCTGACCATTAGGTCCAGTCGTGACCGACTCTGGGGTTGCGGCGCTCATCTCGCTCTATGGGCCGAGGGAGCCGACGTACAGCTTCCGGGTCATGTGGCCAGCATGACTAAGCCGCTTCTGGCGAACCAGAGCAGCGCACGGAAACGCCGTTTACCTTCCCGCCGGAGCGGTACCTATTTATCTACTTGCACTTTGACGTGCTTTCGAACTGCTAGGTTGGCAGGAGCAGGGACCGAGCAACAGGAGCTCACCCTGTCACAGGGATTCGAACCACCGACCATCTGATCAGCAAGTCCTAGGCTCTGTGGTTTGACCCACAGCGCCACCCACATCCCTTAAATACAGTGGTACCTCGGGTTAAGTACTTAATTCGTTCCGGAGGTCCGTACTTAACCTGAAATTGTTCTTAACCTGAAGCACCACTTTAGATAATGGTGCCTCCTGCTGCTGCCACGCTGCCAGAGCACGATTTCTGTTCTCATCCTGAAGCAAAGTTTTTAACCCGAGGCACTATTTCTGGGTTAGCGGAGTCTGTAACCTGAAGCATATGTAACCTGAAGCATATGTAACCTGAGGTATCACTGTATATAACTAGCTTAAAACTGTTGACCAAGTTCAAAGAATTTAGCACATATAGGAAATGTGTTACTTTTATGTTCTTTGCAGTGCAACAGAATAAAATGTTAAGTGGTAGGTATAACAGCTCACACAAATGAGTGTGTGTGTGTGTGTGTGTGTGTGTGTGTGTCAAAGCTCACATGAGTTTCTAGATGTCCAACAGAAATAATTCATGATTGCCGGCTTAGAAATCTCTCTCACAATAACCTTGACAATATTTTTCTATATTCTCCAAGGAACTGCCATGTGCCTTAAGAAACTGTATTAAGCAGTGATACACAAGAACTAGGAACACAGTTGCCTAGTTACGCAAGAAAAATGAATTTTACTCTGACAAAGCATGCCATGCCACCTCTGAAACCTTTTTTTCTTCTTCTTTTGTAACTTCAAGAGGTAACTGGGATCAGAGAAGCAGCATGGGGGAAGGGGACACTCAATTTTGTCATTGTTCACCACTTCCCAATTTGTCTTCACAAGCAGCTTTTTCACACTATATATTTCTCCTCTCAAACACCCCCTTTTCACCCATTTCAATCACATCCACCCCAGAGAAAGCTTTCCTTGTTAAAAAGGAGCCATCATCCTATCATTCGACAACCATGGTTTCCTGCTATGAGGAAAGGCCACGGTGGAGGATGCTGGTTCAGATATATCTGTCCAAGGTCAAAGTACGGAAAAGCATCCCGAACTGGTTCCAAGATTATGGGCATTATTAAAGCCATGCCATGTCTGAATGACTCAAAGCAAACAGCACTTCCAAAATATATAGTCCTTACTCACTCTCTCCCATGTAAGCTCTTCTGCTGCTCGATCCCATTCCAAAGCATTCCAGTTCATATCATCTAAATAGATAATTAAATTTTAAAATAGCTAAAAGTAAAACTCAACCAGGATAGTAACACTGAATAACTGGACAGGCCTCTTACGGCCAATTTAAGGTACACAAGTGTTCTAACAATAAAATAAAATATGTTCTGCATGTTCAGATAAAATGGTTGCCAAGTTTGTTGCTTGTAGGAGGTTAAGTGTAACCAACCGCCCTGAAAACCTGATGCATTGTTCACCAAATTACAATGGATTGGTTTTTTAAGGTTCACATAAAAAAAACATTAAGGCCAAGTTTGTCTTTTACTGATGCGTGGCAGGTTTTACAAATTCTTATGAAAATTTCCAGGAAGCAAGTCATGAAATCAAATAGCCAAAACACAACCCTATTATCCCGGAACAGGGTACAAATATGGTCGTTAAAAAGTAAGTCATATACCTTGCCCTCCATTGTTGGCATCTGCAGCATCTTCTACTACAACATCTTCTTCATCTTCATTGTCTTCCTCTTCTTCATCTGGTTGTTCTTCCTGGATTTCTGGATTTTCACCTACAACTGCATTCTCGGCTGGCTGGTCTGCAGGCTGGTCAAGTGCAGCATTTTCAGCTCCACCATTTCCAACACCCTGAACCTGGCACAGAAGGGGAAAAACCCCACACAATTTAAAGAGTTCTGCTATACTATGATGAGTTCCTGCATCATTAGAAATGTCAGGCAACACATTTGAGTGTTAAGAAAATTCATTTGAATTGTTTTTATCATAGATTTGCAAAATAATAATAATAGAAAGCCAGAATGATACAACTCTTCAGAATTTAAAGAAATGTTTAATAAAGCATGTAAGCGTCAGCTTCGTGTGCATGAAAATTGTTAGATAAAACAAAAATGGTTGAGTGTGTGGCAGGCCTCTACTGCCATGGAGTGAAAACTAATGTCCATTAAAAATTATGATTTCCTTCTTGTCCAACTTTATCCTATCTAGAAAGATGGCTACAAGGAATCTAGTAAAGACTGTAAAGACTGCCTTGCCCCAGAGCAAGATGCTTATTAAAATATCACCACAGTGTGATATCTTCTGCTTGTCAGAAACATCTGCAGCTTGGTCTCCCTGATAGACACAAATCCATACCAGTATGAGACATTAGCTACAGCAAATAAAGTCCATTTCTCAGGATGTACCTGAGTGACTTCCCTGGGGAACAGTATCTTAAACTGAGAGGTGAAGAGGAGCAACTGGAATAAATCTATTCTCAAAAATTCAGAGGATGCCAGTTTCTTCAATCTGATCAAGATTGGGCAGGTACAGTCTCAAATAGGAAAATTATTCTGGATGTTTAAAGAAAGATGGTGCAGGCTTAAGGGGGAGGGACCCCATTTCACTGTGATAATTGAGAAGAACCATGTTTTAGATTAGCTTCCAGATGCTACTTTAGATGTTGATCTCAGATTTTGAGGCTATAACAAGGAGTTTAACGTGTTCCCTCTTTGCTCTCATATCATTACTGTGAAAACAGGACAGGAAATAGAACCTGTAACATATGCACATTTAGAAGTAAAACCATGGAGACTACACTACACAACTTTCTACAGACACCTCTGTAATATCAGCCTCCTACGCTAGGATCTTTCTTGTAGAAATAAGGCACATGATCTCCTGTTGCAAGTATCCCGCTAAATATTTCTGGTATTACAGCTGCTATGTCAGTTTCACAAACAGTGTTGCACAGCTTAATGATCTATCTGAATGCAGCCATTCAAAGACTCTTAAGATATTTGATAAAGGTACAGAACAAAACACTATACAGTGGTACCTCGGGTTACAAACGCTTCAGGTTACAAACTCCGCTAACCTGGAAGTAGTTGCCTCGGGTTGCGAACTTTGCCCCAGGATGAGAACGGAAATCGTGCGGCGGTGGCACAGTGGGAGGACCCATTAGCGAAAGCACACCTCAGGTTAAGAATGGTTTCGGGTTAAGAATGGACCTCTGGAACAAATTAAGTTCGTAACCCGAGGTACCACTGCAGTAGGAAAGTTGCTGGTACTAAATGCAATCCACAAGTCAATGAAGCTTCTGCCAGAAGAATGCATTATGCAACAGGATTATGTGTATTTATCTACCTAGTGTTAGACAATTCTATATTTGGGGGGGGGGGAGTAGAGAACAAGCTAATGTGCAATAGAGAGGAATTCAAGCTGAAAGTTGCAACCAAAAAACTGAAGGACATATTACCTCATTCTGTTGCCCAACACCATTGATGGCTTGCTGCTGATTTTGTTCCAGCCACTGTGGTGCTCCTCCGTGGACAATTTGTTCACGTAACCATACAAGGCTGATAAATGCACAGAGTGTGCACGTCACCACAAAACAACCTTGCAAACAGTCTGCCAGTAAATTCTCTCTATTGAAGAGACAACCAACACATTCTTTACACCCATTATCACAACTGTTACGTTCCAAATGCAAAATCATTGTCGACTCACTCTGCAATCAGTCACCCAGGCTTAGGTAAGACCTCCTTAACGGTACCAAATTTACCTGATTTTGAACGAAAGAACAAGTCAAGATCTCCAGTAGAAGATCTCGCTGTGGAAGCCTTTAGATATTTCAATTTAAATCTATTCAATCATCATGTTGATCTCAAGTTGCTTGCTATCTGCACAAAATTATTAATTAGAAGTTTCTCCAGCATCTTCATTCACCTGACGATACTAATCTGATCCTTTATTTTGTTGATGAAGCATTTAAAATAAGGCAGTGTAAGACATTTACTTTACTTTCCTTTATTATTTATTACCTCCTGGAGGTTTTGAGCTGGTGAGATGTTGTAGGAATTAACACTGGGGATCATTACAGGCCATAGATCGCTTCCCTGTATATTTTTGCATGAAGCTCATTTATTTAATACACTGATAAATAAATACATCTCATTTTATTTCTACATTATAAATTTCTGCATGAATTTTCTATTCCATTCCAATATACTATTTATTTTTAATTAAAAGGTTGCCTTTCTGCTACAGGCTCTCAAACAATTAAAATAAACAATACTTTTAAAATATACATAATAATGTAGTGTGTTTTACAAGTATAAGCTGAATAACTGCTGTACTGGCCAGGCAGAGAAGCAGACAGTCTCATCTTAAGACAAGTTAGGCTGGGATCCTACATGTGAACACTTACATTTTCACAAAACAAAAGTGGTATCTTTTCACACAGATATATTAAAGCAGAGGCTATATACAAAAACATATTTTATTCATATTAAAACTGGAAAATATTTATTTTGTACAGTGATCATTTTCTCTATTACTGAATTACCCAGAAGCACTATTCCCAGGCTAGTTATTAAATTCTGTTCACTTACAGTATATTAAAACACACAGACCGAACCATAAAGAGGAATAAATAATAATGCTACATTCTTTAATTTTCTATCCTATCTCCTATCTCTTTCATTGTAAGAGAAAAAGAGCAAGCTGTTTAGAACACAATGTGTAGAAATATCTATAGTATTAGCTGATACTTACGTTGACAGCATATCTAATGGCAGTGTCAGTAGTGAGCTCACAGAGCCAGTAAACAAGCACTTGTAGATACGGCCTAAAGGAGTAAAAATTGACAATAAATGCAATTTCCACTAATTAAACCTGGGTTTTTGGGGGGAGTTAGAAGCATCCTAAAGTTCATTTTAACAGACTAACAATGCTTCAGTAACAAGCCTAGTAAGATGAGGGAATTCAAACCAGGTTTGGGGTGGAGAGGAGTGTGTTCTTGCAGACCAATCCCTCATCCCTTAAGTCTGGAAAAAGTTCCATTTGCTTCAGACCTTGATTTCAAATAGCACGTTAAGATAATTTTTAGGGGAAAGGCATCAGAAGCTCCAAACTTCCTGGTATCAGGTTCTTAAGCAGTGAATATTTTAGAATCTGTGAGCATTTGCATCTATGTGTGATTTCAAAGGAACAGAATCATGTTCGATCCAATTACCCAAACTATTCTCAACTATAACAAAGTTGTTGCAAATGTTTCTTGTATAACATGGGAACATATGCAAATACCACACCTGGAGTACTGTGTCCAGTTCTGGGCAACACATTTTAAGAAGGATATTGACAAGCTGGAATGTGGTCAGATAAAGGATCTGGAAACCAAGGCTTATGAGGAACAGTTGAGGGAGTTGGGTATGTCTGAGAACAGATATGATACCCATCTAAACCTATCTAAAGGACTGTCACATGGAAAATGGAGCAAGCTTGTTTTTCCTACTCTGGAGGGTAGGACTTGAAATAATGGATTCAAGTTACAAGAAAGGCAATTCTGACTAAACATCAGGGAAAACTTTCTGAGAGTAAAAGCTGTTCAACAGTGGAATGGATTCCCTTGGGAGGTTTTTAAGCAAAGGTTGGGTGGCCATCTGTCATGTATGGCTTAGTTGAGATTCCTGCATCACAAGGGGTTGGACTAGATGACCATTGGAGTCCCTTCCAACTCTATGATTCTAAGAGATGCAGGCAAACAGACCACAGTAGAAGAAACTGTTAAAGCTGTGAGGATTAAAAGGCACATGCAAGCCAGAGAATAACCTTCACCATCTTTTCGCCAATTAAAATCTAAGACTGCGGTCTATAAGAATTTTAACACAGGCAAGAGGAAATCCAGCTCTTGCCATTCTGTCAGCATCTATAATACCAACATGGCTAAACTAAAAGAAAAGGAAACTTACTGTGAACTCCTACACAAAGTGCCTCAGAAGGCAGCTTAAAAGGTCCAGGTGTAGCATTGTTCTCTGTGCAAGCACTAGTGATGTTTGTGTTTTCCAATCACCTTTGAAGAATTATGCACACAGCATTCATAGCTGCTTTTTCTGAAATTCAGTGATTAAGAACCGGATATGATGAAGGTTGGAGCTTCTAATACTTTCCCCCTTAACTAGCTTACTGTTAACCATGGTTCTGAGAGCCCCCTGACAATAAAACATTTCCCCTCCCTCTTGTACTGCTATGCCATATGCATATTATACGTCCACAAAATGAGATACTTACATGCTGTAAGAGGTACAACTCCTAACCATGCAAAGGCCACAAGTGTATAGTGAAACCAGTATCGTATTGCTGTGCCAATACTTGTAACCAGTCCAGCACATATGTCTTGGATTGGAAGCCGAGAAGGCATATCTGGGGAATAAACTAAGAAAAGAAAGAACAGAAAGGATTGCAATTTTACTTCTACCACTCTGAATTGTTTTTATGAGAAACATCATAGTATTCCTGCAAAATTTCCCATGACACTGAACTGAAAATACTACATGGTCATCTATTATTATAGTTTTAAAGCCAACCTTTTCAAGTGAAAGATAACAATTTCTTAAAGCAAAATAATGACAGAGACCAATTTAGATAAAGCCAGTCTGCAATGTGCCTTGCTTATGAAAGTGTTGCTGTGTCAGGTGGCACATCCATAAACTCCAAAATGCTCACTAGCAGTATGGGTGTTATTTTAAAATGAAAACAATGTGGTATCATATGGGATGCTATTTACATGAAGGATTTTCTAGGGCTGTTGTCGGATTTCAACCAAGCCAGTCAAACCATTGTTTCAGAAGGGGTTACAATGACTTGGCCATATCTCAGATACACAGCTTAGAGCAGTGTTTCCCAACCTTGGGCCTCCAGCTGTTTTTGGACTACAACTCCCATCATCCCTAGCTAGCAAGACCAGTGGTCAGGGATGATGGGAATTGTAGTTCAAAAACAGCTGGAGGCCCAAGGTTGGGAAACACTGGCTTAGAGACAGTGCAGTGCCTACAATATTTAGTTTACTGGAGACAAGCACACTGCTGGTGAACATGCAAATTCACATGAAGACTCTCTGTAGCCTAAAACCACCATAAAGAAAAGTCTTTGTTTAAACACATCACAAACTCTAACCATATACTTACTTGGTGTGAAAGCAAATCTATGTTTACATAATTCACAGTATTCTTTTCTGCTGTGTTTGAGCCACTGAACTAAGCTGCAATTAAAAAGAAACATGAGTACAGTATATCTACAGTTTAAAATCTACAAGTTATTTTTGAGTGTCAGAAATTAACAGTATATCTACAGTTTAAAATCTACAAGTTATTTTTTGAGTGTCAGAAATTAAGAAAATGCAGCAAAATAATCAGTAAAATATAAAGAAAAACATTAATAATTCAAATTCAGAGAGACAGAAAAACAGAGATAATGCCTTTCTTTAAATACTCTTGTTTTGTTGATAGTGAACATGTTTGAAGAGCATAGGCATACAGTTCAAGAGCACTGCTCTCCAGAAACCGCAAATACAGCTACTCGGCTACAGTTATGAAAGGCATTCCTAAATGCCAACTAGAGCAGAAAGGTAGCATGTAAGTTTTCAAATCAAAAAAGACTAATGCAAAGGGCAAAGGACCATGTGCTACACGTGCAAGGCTTTCTTCAGCAACCCCTTTCTAGAAGCAGGCTTCTGCTCCACCTTTCTCTGTTCTCAAATGTGAAGGGACCCTCTATAGAGGCTTCTTATATTATTTAAGGGACTATGCCATCAAGGGAGAAACTGACATATCTCCTTGGATTGCATACAAAGTAAATTTACAGGGCAGAAGCTCACACCGCATTACATGTCTTCTACTATTGCAGTTGGCCCTTCACCTTCCTCTTCTCATCCCTGTAGCACCTTGAAAGCCCCCCTAAATCTACACCAGAGGGTCAATGACAAAAAGGAGCAAGCATTTAAAACACTAAACACTATTAATACATAGATCTAACACTTCTAATAAAAAACAATATACCCTTAATATCCAGAAATTCTATAAAGGGGTTTCAGATACTTCTTGTATTATCCCATTAATTACACAGGGATTAAAAATAATATATGCAGTTTTTCTTCTCCACACCTCGATAATTCCTTAACATGTAAACCTATGCTTATGGGTTCGTGGTCCACCAATTGGGAACCACAGAGCATTATTTATCTACCAGATTCCCAAAATGTTCATAGCAATTTCATGCCGTAAGGATATATGAATAGGCATTGAGATATTTTGGAGGAAAAAACTTACCATTCTTGATGAATGAATTTAATACTGCCAGTGCATACACATGGATGATAGAGAGGTTTCTCAGGAGTTCCTTCAGATCGACATACCCTGCATATGTCTGTTAAACACAAATAGAATTAATACAGAATAAAACTAATAGAAATGCTTTCCATTATAATGAGATACTTCTTTAAGTTTCCTGGTGTATCAACTTTTCCTAAATAGTAATAATAAAAAAAAAGTGCCAAAGGAAGATCATTAAGTGTCAGCTTTTATCCCTTGAATCTGACATTGGTGCACTGCTATTATTTTAAGATAACAAAAATAGGTGAAATACTATATTTAAAGCAAGAGCATTAAAAAATACTTTTTGGCAGATGTTCTTAAACAAGCATTTTTGCAAGTGTACTCTTTAAATGCAGGATGTTCTAACAAGCCACAAAGGAAGTAGCAATAGCAAGTTCTACTCCTGGCTCTTATATTGACCAGTCCAATGTTGAAGCCTAGAAGCTTCATTGGGCATTCTCCTATAATCTGAAAAACACGGCAGCAATTCACATTGCATGGGGCTTCAGTCAAGAACATAGGAATCATAGAATCATAGAATCATAGAGTTGGAAGAGACCACAAGGGCCATCGAGTCCAACCCCCTGCCAAGCAGGAAACACCATCAGAGCACTCCTGACATATGGTTGTCAAGCCTCTGCTTAAAGACCTCCAAAGGAGGAGACTCCACCACACTCCTTGGCAGCAAATTCCACTGTCGAACAGCTCTTACTGTCAGGAAGTTCTTCCTAATGTTTAGGTGGAATCTTCTTTCTTGTAGTTTGGATCCATTGCTCCGTGTCCGCTTCTCTGGAGCAGCAGAAAACAACCTTTCTCCCTCCTCTATGTGACATCCTTTTATATATTTGAACATGGCTATCATATCACCCCTTAACCTCCTCTTCTCCAGGCTAAACATGCCCAGCTCCCTTAGCCGTTCCTCATAAGGCATCGTTTCCAGGCCTTTGGCCATTTTGGTTGCCCTCCTCTGGACACGTTCCAGTTTGTCAGTGTCCTTCTTAAACTGTGGTGCCCAGAACTGGACACAGTACTCCAGGTGAGGTCTGACCAGAGCAGAATACAGTGGCATAGGAAGCTGTCTTCTACTGAGTCAGACCACTGGTCCACCTTGTTTAGCATTCTATGCTGACTAGCAGCTGCTCACTAGCATTTCCAGCAGGGCTCATTCCCAGCCCTACCTGAAAATGCCAGGGACTGAACCTAGAATCTTTCGCATGTAAAGAAAGTGTTCTACTATTCAGCCATGGCCCTGATTAATCTAACACTAACACAGGAAGAATATTAAAATACTCCCAAATACAGCAGTCTCCTCAATGTTGGCAAAGACTGGTATGGATCCAAGTTTCCCTAATAACAGGGTTTCATTTGTAACAGGCATCAATGGAATACAGCCCCAATATCCATTTTCAAGGCTGCATTCATATATAATGCTAACTTAAGCCATGGTTTAGCATTAGGGTAGACAAGCCAAAGTGAGCCTTGGGTTTACACGCTCCCCACAAAATGTCAAAGGTCATAAACTTCAGTTTCACAATAGCTGCGGTTTAGCATTATATTCAAACCTTAAATGCAATCTTAGCCACCATTTGTTGAAACAAGCCAGCTTCACAAACAATGCTTTGAAGTTGGCTTGTTTCAGAAAACCATAATTAAGATTAACCAAACTTTGTCCAGGTTCAGGTGTCACAATTTGTAGCTAACCAAAAAACATAAATGAAATCTCCTTAGCTCATCCTCATAGGTGACAAGAAAACCTATAATTATTTAAGTGTTTTCAATTCTTGACCATGCATTGGATGCCTAACAGCACTTTGTGTAACACAGCAGAACCGTAGGAAAACGTGTCCTTTATATGACAGCTCTATGATAGCTTAACAGCTGTGACAAAAATGAAATAATGTGCATGGGAAACGAGTGGAAGGCTAGACATCACTATCACTGCCTTACCTGTCAAGAAATTGAAAAACTAGAAGCAACGGTTCAGAACTTGATAATGTTGTGAACTACCAAATGAATGCACTAACAGAAAGGTTGACCTATTTGCTGGCATCACACCATGTGGCAGCTCTCCAGAAAAGCCAGTACACTCTCAGTTCCACACAACACTCTCATACATACTATAACTCTGAAAGGGCACTTTACCCATGTATCTTTCCTATTCACGTTCTGAACATATATGTGGGGAGAAAGCCAAAGGGTCTATAATCCACCCTGGAAAAGCTATGTAATGTAAACCAAGGGAATTTACATTACCAAGAAAAGAAAAAGGGAAAGACAGAAAGGCTGGATTAAATCTAGTTGCCTGTAGGCATTTCATGTATTTTCCTAAACAGTGACACAAGTGAAAAGGTTAGTCTAACCAGTTTAACTTGTTCATTAATTCAGAATTTAATAGAGCGTTTATACAATCCAGGCCAGTACGCATTGTATAAGACTCATACTTAAAAAAAAGAGAAAAGGCAGCTACTCATTTGCAGCAGCCATGTCTGCTTTGTTGTATGGCAAAGCATGAAAACACTTGCACTCTTTTCTTTCCAGTGTTATTGTTTCTGGTTTCACTTCTGCTTCTTCTTGCTTACTGCATGACTCCCTGGCCTTGCCTCAATCCCAGTACAGAAACGCAAAGTGGGCCTGACCTTACTCAGCTGTGACCACTTGGATTTTCAGTACTGTACCAGGCTAGACTAGGGTTGGAGTGTTGCTATTGTCTATAAGAATACCATATCCTTGATCAGGAAGCCTCTTGATATCATCATCATTTACTATTATATTTATACCCCGCCCATCTAGAGTCTGCACCTGGTATTGGGCCAGAGAGACAGATCAGGGGTGCTGCTGGGCTACTAACCACTCTGTTGCCCAATGGTATCCCTGATCCAGCTTGCCAAGGTAGTCTCTGGGGTACTGTTGGAGGACCCTAAAACAATAATCCTGGGTGACTTCAATAGTCATGCAGAGGCTGTTGTCGGGCCAACTTCAGACAACATGGCCTCCATGACAACTATGGGTCTCTCTCAGATGGCCATTGGTTCAACACAACCCTCTGGAGCACTCAAAGACCCGCTGTGACCAACTGACAACACACTTTGAGGATAAAGTCACTTGTCTTTGGAGTGATCTTCACTCTGCACCTGTTGCAGCTCCAAATGAAGTACCCAGTGTCAGTATTGAGAATGTTTTGTGGGATCAGTTTCACCTTAGGCAATCAGCTGATGTGGACATGGTGGCGGCAGCCATGCATCTAACCACGTGCTCCATCAAATCCTGTTCCTCCTGGCTTATTAAGAAGACAGGGGATGAGGGGGTGGTTCCTGCTACACTGAAAAAGGCACTGATGCAACCACTCCTAAAGAAACCGCCTATGGACCTTTGGATTGGAACAACTATCAACCAGTTGCTAATGTCCCCTTTTAGGGGAATATGGTGGAGAGGGATGTGGTGGAAGCATTCTTGGAGGACCCAGATTATTTAGATCCATTTCAATCTGGGTGCAGGTCTGGCCACGGAATTGAGTCAGCCTTGGTCACTCTGATGGGTGACCTTTGCAGAGGGCAGGATGGGGAGCGCAACTTTACTCCTGTGGTATCCACCTGGAACAGCTTCAGGGATTGGGAATTGGGGGCAATGTATTATAGTGGATCCAATCCTATCTTCAAGGGAGTCCAGAGAGTAGCCTGGGGCAAGTGCCTTTCGGCCTCCTGGAGGCTACTATCTCCAGTGATATTTAAAATCTACATGAAGCTGCAGGGAGCGGATGTTAGAAGTTTCACCGTGAGGTGCCATCAGTATGCTAATGACACTCAGCTCTATTTCTCCATAAACTCTTACTCAGGAGAGGCCATTGCCTGGATGCAGTGGTGAAATGGATGAGGGAAAATAAGCTGAGCTTGAATCCTGGCAAGACAGAAGCACTGTGAGTGAGTAGCTCCTACAACTGAGAAACCAATCAATCGCCTACTCTGGATGCAGCATGATTTCCGACAGAAGTTAGAAATGTAACACCTATGCACTGGCTGTTGATATGCTACCAGGACAAGTTCATGGTGTATGAGGTATACAAAGCCCTTAATAACTTGGGACCAGATTACCTACAAGGTTTCCTTACCCCACACATGCCAACTTTTTGTCCCCTTACAAGGAAAAATGGAGTTAGGAGTATTGATAAGAGTGGGATGCATGGAGTGCAGAGGAGGGGTTGTACTTCGGGGGGGGGACGACACACACTTCATTCTCCTTCTGCGGTAGTTTGCCCATCTTGTACTCAGCTCTCACCTGTGGCTCCTAGAGGCTGTCAGCATGAGACAGCAGCTACACCCCCAGGATATGGCTTCGACTGTCTCAAACCCTCAGTGTGTTAGGGACTTCCCCTGCATACAAAGACAGGCTACAGCAGATTGAGCGCATGAGACCAATAGCGGGTCCAACAGTCAAGAAGGCAGTTAAAGCACACGCTGTAGAGGGAAACGAGGGGCAGATGGGGCTCATCAACCAGGGAAAATAGCTCATTTAGGGGAAGGAAAACTGGTCCTAAACCTCTGCTGCCTTACAGCTATACTCATTTGTGAGAAAGGCTTCAGGAGTAAACCCTGGGGAAAATCCATACCTGCTGCCTTGCAGGATATTCTTGGGAGAAGAAAAGGCTAAAGAGTCAACCCTACATAAATCTGGAGTAGATGGTTGGACCTCCTTCCTTCCATGAAACTACTGTGTAAGGTCATAGGGAGATTTGGAGCGTATGCTGATGTCACCCAACTTTGTTTCTCCTCTCTATCTGTTGCTAATGAGAGCTAATAAAATGAAAATGAATCTAGATAAGATATTCTTGTAGTGTTTGATTCGCCTCCCAAGTAGGTGATGGCCAGTCTGAGGGAAGCTGTTTCCCATATCAGTCTGCCTGTAATTTGAAATCTAATGGGGAGGCCTTGCTGATAGCTCCAACTTCAAAGGAAGTTTGGTGCTCCATGACCTGCCTAAGGACCACCTCAGTAACAGCACCTTGGATACACTCCTCCTGGAGGTTCTGCTGGCACCAGTTTATTATTTATGTCATTA